ATGCCATTAGACACCTGTCGTGCCTTAGCCGCCATGGTCTCCACGTGTTTCTTGAAGCTCAGTTTTCTATCTAGCCAGATTCCTAGATATCTTATGGAGCTTTTCACTGCCTTTGCTGTAATAGAGTGAGTGCCAGATGTTGTTTCAAGGTTGATTGAGGGGTTTGAAAGGGTTCTGCGCCGTGTGAAGTGTGCTATCTCAGTTTTGGCAAAATCAAATGTCAGCCCTTCTTTGCTGGCCCAATCATTTAGCAACTTGAAATCCTCCTGGAGAGTAACAACATTCCCTTCAAGAGTGGTTCCAGCACTAAGCAGTCCTAGATCATCTGCGTAGCCTAAGCGTGCACGTCTTCTTTGTATAGTTCCTAGAAAGAACAGAGGCTGAATAAACAGCATGAATAGAATAGGTGAGACTGGCGAGCCTTGTGGAAGCCCTGCTGGGATATCAAAGAGCTCTCCCAGGAGTCCATCCAATCTGATCCTGCCTGTGCGTCCTGTCATGAAGCTTTCCACCCATCTAATTAAATTTGGTGGCCAGCCTTGTTCTTGCAATCTCCGCAGCATCCTTCCTCTGAGTACAGCATCAAAAGCACCCTTGATGTCCAGAGTAAGAAGAGAGACTACTTTTCCATGGGCCCAGGCTTCCTCTATATCATGAACCATCGCTGCCACTAGGTCTGAGGCAGCCCGCCCAGGGAGGGCTCCAAAATGCTGGGGGTGGACAATCTTCTCTTGTATAGCTGTCCAGGCCAGCCTACGGGCTACCAGGCGTTCCAGTCCCTTCCCCAACGTTGAGAGAAGGGCTATAAGCCTGTAGGATCGCGGGAGTGTTGGATCTCTGTTGACCTTAGGCAGCACAACCAGTGTGGCATCTCGAAAGGAGGTTGGGTGCCAGCCAACCCTAAGGCAGGCTCTGAACAGCCTTTCCACTGATACCTTAATATGTGGCCATGCCTTTCGTAGCACCTCTGTTGGCACTCCATCAGTTCCTGGAGTGGTATTACCCGTGTTCAGCAGAGAACTTTGTATCTCATGTGCTGAGGCAACAGGAAAAGGTAATTTGACAGATGGTGGGTTGGACCAGCTAATTGGGATATCCTCTCTGCTTGCAGCCTTCTGTAAGAGCACCCGTTGCAGAAGGTCTCTTTTCTCTCTAGGGGTTGTTCGCGTTCGCCCAGTCTCTTCATCTACAAGAGGGGGGGAATGAAAGGAGCCAGTTGAATGGGCCCATTTGATCATCTTAAAGATATCTTTCCCCACTGAGGCCTCTGCTATCTTGCCTCGCCAGTATTCTCTCTTGGCTTTCCTGGTGGTCCTGGCTACGTTGCTTTTTGCTTCTCGTAAAAAACTAGAGCCTAGGCGCTGTGCACGATGTAGTGTTGTCACTGCTTTCTGGCAGTCCTCATTCCACCATGGCTGACCTGTGCCTTGCCCGGTGCTCTTCTTGGTGGAACTTTCCAGGGAAGCTATTAGTGCATCTGTGATACCTTTAGCCAGGGCATCCAGCTGATCTGTATTGGGGTACTCTGGGATATCACATAGTTTGTCTAGTTTTGGCTTATAGGCCTCCAGCGTCTGGTTAAAGACCTTCTCATTCATGGTGTCGAGACGGAAAAAATGGGTTGGCCTGTCAGGCCTTGCGCCCTGTGGAAGGCTGATTTTGGTGAGAAGAGTCTGGTGGTCAGAGGAAGTGTAAAGGGATCTGTCCACCTGTGTGTCCACTCCTTTGATAACTAATTCCGGGGTGGCCCAGGCCAGGTCTATCATGTTATGCCCACGTGTGGGAGTGTCTGGGTCCATGGTGAGAGTAAAGTTGAAATTCATGGTCCATTGCAGGAATGGTTCCGCCCACATGCTTGGAGGCACTCCTGGTTGCCACACGGGGTGCTTGATATTGAGGTCGCCAGCAAGGAGCAACGGGAGTGCTGGGACAGACCAGGAGAGAAGACAGCCCACACCTTGTCCAGGATCCTCTGCGCCTGGGGGTGCATTGTATATGTTGACTGTCTGAAGCTGTAGACCCCAGGCCTGTATGTGCAGCATGTGGATGTCCCGGTTTTCTGCCCAGGGGCCTGGGACTGCATGAGCATGGATTTGTGGGTGTTTACGCACATAGGTGAGGACCCGTGGCTTCCTGTCCCACTTTTCAATTGGGGCAAAGCAGTTGAATGCTGGATGCTTTTTGGAGATGCGTTGGCTTAAGTTCCTGTGAATCCAGGGTTCCTGTATGAGAAGGATGTCAGTCTTTCTTACAAACGCTAGATTGAGGGCCGTCTCGTGTGCTGGGCCCCCTTTTCCTACATTGACTTGCATAATCTGCAGGAATTGCGGAGATCTAGAGTTCTTCTTCATTGAGTAGCTGAAAGGAGGGTGTTGTTGCGTGAGATGACGTGTTGGGTGTTGCATTAGATGTTGGGTTGGGCGCCATGCCTAATGCTGTGCCTGATGCTGTGCTCAATGCTGTGCTTGGTGCTGTGTTTGATGTTGGTGTGAGGTTAGATCTACGCTCAGTAGAATCATTCAACCTCAGGTCTGCTGATGGCCCTCGACCACCGCATTTGCTGTTACTTGCCTTGGCCAAGTATGCCTTACTCTGTGCATTGCGGATATCCCTCAGCTGGTTTCTTGAGTGCCTTTGAACAGTCCCATTCTTTATCCCTGGTCTGGCGGGGCAGGATGGATCATCCGCGGCATGTGGTCCAAGACAGTTAGTGCAGCGATTGGGGCATCCACATGCTTCATTCTCCTTATGACAGGATGGATTTCCTTTCACATGATTCTTAGAACTGCATTTTTTGCAGCGAGGGACGCGGAGGCAGTATCTCTCTTGATGAAATCCCCAGCATTTGCTGCATTGTTGTATTTTGACCTTAGGTGCCTTTCTGATCACTGGTCTTTGATATCCATATAGTTCCACTTTTGATGGCAGGTTTACTGCTGTCTCTTGCGAAAAGTGTAATATAAGAGTGGCTGTTGGGTTTCCAGGGTGTATTTTTGCCCAGCGACTCTGGACAGGCTTGATTCTGGTTTGGAGTGTGAATTCTTCTGTCATGGATTCTGCTGAGAGACGCAGAGTTCCACCACCATAGTCACTAATCTCCATGGGCAGCCCAGGAATCAGGCAGGTGATCCAATGTTCTTCCTTCTCTATCTGAGTATTGGTGAGGGTGGCTGCTAAAACATTCTTTTGGGCTAGCAGGGCCTCCATGTCTTGCAAGCTTCTAGGAATGATGGCAATGCCTGTGGGGATGGCTTGAACTGCTGTGATGGCTGCTGCCAAAGGCCCTGGGAGTTCAGCCTTCAGCTTTCTAAGAGTAGCAATTGGGCTTGCTTTGCGAGCTAGATGATCTGAAGGCAGGCGCGCGAGGATTCGTGGTGTTTTTCCTTCTCTGGGGTTATTCCTAAGCAGGGGTTTCTGCAGTATGGTTGCTGGTGTTTTTGTTACATTGGTGCTGTCTGCAGCTGTCTTTGCGTAGGTAGGAGCTCTTGCATCATTTGCACCAGTGGAGCCAGCAGGCTTGATTGTGGTGGACTGCTTAGCTGTTTCTAGACTTCCATTGTACCAGTCCTTGACTAACGCCTTCACAGCGGCTCCAAGGGCCAGTGCCCTTGATAGGCCTTTTGCCTTCATGACATCTAGGTCTTCTTCAATCCGATCAAGCATATTTGCAGCCGCTAGTGCTTCTGCATGGGATTTCTGTGCCTCAGCCTCGTGGGCGGCTAGGAGATCGCTAGCCATCGGGCCACGTAGGTTGAGGTGAATTGGTGCGACATTTCTGCTCTTTGAGCTGCCTGCTGGTGTAGGGGAGCTTGGAGACTCCATGTCATTCAGTTCACATGTGCGGCGGGCGATTGGGGTGAGGAGATGGGGTCTCTTGGGTGGACGGCGTATGGGGGAGCAGATGCGCGTCAAGGCTCGGGACGCGTTCGGTGGTGTTGGGGGGCTGGGCGCGCTGGCGGCGCTGCGTCGGCACGCCATCAGGCTTGCTGCCTGAGGGGATGGGAGAGAGCTTATAGGGATGTGATCAGGATTGTCTATCATGGCTTGTTTCTGAGAGTAAATGGCAACTCTGTAGACAGCGGACCTTTTCATCACGTGATGTATATTCCACCGTGTATAGTCGTCCCCGTAGTTATCAACGTTTGCAATCGACCAAGCTTGCCACTCTATCAAAATGTGGTTATTGTATTCATTTATGCTTCGCGTATGGACGTTTGCGGGGATTGCCTCTAGCCGTTCCTCACTAGTCTGGGATTTCTTCTGACGATTCTATGAAGGCGATCACCTTTCAGCTTGACGATGAGAGCCCCTTTTGAGCAGCGGCGCATCCTATATGCTATATCATATTGGCGTCACCGGCAATGTATCCGGCGTTAAGCACTCCGTGGAAAGTCACCCGACAAAATAATCTTCCTTCGCGGGAAAGATCGCGAAGGAGATACATGTCTTATTATGGCTTCTCAAGAGAAAAGCTCTCCTATGGTTTCCCTTCTTCCCAAGCATGGCACTGAAGTGGATGCCACAAACAGTAATGGGAGAACTGCACTGAAGGAGGCGTCTCTCTGGGGGTGATTAGATACTCCTTTCTCAAAGCGCCAATCGATACTTGTACGATAACGAGAACCGGAGACCTTTTGATTTGTCCCGGCCAACTCGAAAAAACCAAAAAGAGAGACAATATAAAAGCTGACAGCTTTTGGGACGACTTGTCCACAGATCCGATTTACAAAGAGATGTTGTTCATCGAGATGCTCACCGATGGGAGATTGTGAGGATTCTTTGAGGGAAGGAATCGACATGTCAGGACAGAGAGCTGTCCATGAGTGCCCGAAGCAGCCTACCACTCTTTCCGGAGGTCCTATGATACAGTCAAAATTCATTGAGGTCAAATCCGAGAGCATTCCATACAGAGATAAAAAAATAAAAAATAAAAATAAAATAAATAAAATAAACCATACCTGTACTAGGGATGGGCACACCTTTCCCGACAGTTAGCGGCGATGGGCGGGTTGTGCCATTCGGAATGGCTATCTACCAGAGTGAGTGGCAAACGCTGGACACAAGGGGTATTTAATTTGGCGGCTATCATTGGGTATACCCTGTCTGCCAATCCTGAAAGGGATCAAAGAATCCAAGGCCATTTCCAAGGACCCCACGCCGAGAAGCAGTTGATCACCTGTTCCGTCGACCGGCTTGTCTTCCTACCAGAGGATAAGGCCGTAGACCTGTGCTTCGACCAAGAAATTGCACGTTTGGAATCCGAAATGGTCAGGGATGGCCAGGATAGCCTTTCATTTCAATTATCCTTCAGTTCTACAAGTTCTAGGACGCAAATAAAACTTCGGAATATGAGCTTTTCAACAAGGATTATCGATTACTTGGAGAGGAACACAATGGGAATTTGATCCAAATGACTGAAATTGAAATTTGAAAGTCTCAAATGAACAGAGGTGCGTTCTGAAGTGAAGTCGATCAGGGCTCGAGAACATCAATGAAAGGATGCGATCATGACAAAAAGATCTCCATGGCCGCCTCAACCGCCTGCAAAAAATGGTGCCGAAGAATACCTTGAGTGAGACAGCCATATCTATACGCTCCCCTACATATCAAAGTTGTCAAGATTGTTTGTTGTCACCTAGCAGACTCGGGAACAGCCAGGCAGCTGAGCTGAAAGGTGCCCAGATTATAGCGGTTAATTGACACCCTAGTGGAGACTCCCTATTTACAGACGACCAAGAGAGCGCAAAATGAATAATCCAATGTAGGCAAGAAGATTAAATATTTATAATATTATATGCAGAGTTCATGTAATTCAATTACTTAAGCTGTAGATCCGCTGAATAAAAGATGATAAATGATTATACATAGTGCTGCTATTCTGGCAAACAAAATAAGTAATTAGCTAATGAGAAGTAATGAGAAAATAGGAGAAAGATCATGTGTATGTAACTAGCTCAGGAAGACGTTTTGAGAGTTAAAGAAGAAAGAGATTGTTGTTCACAGTCTCAATAAAGAGAAAGTTGAGATGATAGAGAGAATTCTGACTCTCATTCCAAAAATATGCAGCACCACAGTGTAGTATACGTGAAAGCTGATTTATAAATAATTCCTAATTCAAATTAATCTACTTTTCGTTTGTCCTATTTTGTTATAAATAAACATGTAGAATGATGAGGAGGTTGACTCACTGATTTATTTATGTGACTTGCTTATTATAGTTTCATTGAACATCTCATCCCATTTTACCTATATTTATTATATCCCTTTGTTGTCCCTGCTCAGCTGTCAATTTATTTCGCATAACTAATTAATAGAAACTCTGATAAACATTTGTAGTTCAAACACGACCATCGGGTGATGCACTTATTTCCTATCTCTCCACGGATTGACAAGTTCCATCTCCAAGGTCTTCTACCAACCACTTTATGGCACATACTAACTCTAGAATTCAGTTGAAGGATGATCTTCCTAACGTGCAGATCAAACTAGTGTACATACATAGTTCCATGTATTTATAGAAAACCTGCAAGCAATCAGTATAGCTAGCGTGGGATCCAACGTCCAGGGGATATCCCACCCTATCGAACTTCCAAATGCATCCAGAGCAACAGCTCGCCAGCGAAACGGAAAAAGAAACAAACATCTATCTCAACCTGACCATCATTGCCACCATCTCCATCTCCACTTTGGCTCTTTTCCACCCATATCGGTCATTCCCCATCCTCAAAACTCGAGATGCGGAACTATCCCAAGCAATAGGCTTGTTTTTCGCTGGACTTGGCTCCCGATCTCGTTGTTCAAGCGCTTAACCGTGGATGCCCACCCTTTCAGGGCCCTTGCAAACAGCAGTACCCTGCCATTCTCGATTCGCCTGCCAATTCTGTTATTCAGCGTGTGTCTCTTTTCGTATCTTCCCTGTATATTTACTTATGCGGAGTAACGGATGGAGAGGTGATGATATTGGCTCTACTTACAAGATCCCATTCGCAAATCAGCCCGGGGCAGCAATCCGTTGGCCACTGGCATGCCCTGCCAGCACGGTAGCATGTCGCAATTAAAGGCTCATCAGCGTCGACGACAGCTTCGAGTTTAGATTTGGGCTTTCCAGGTGCGGCGATGGCAGTGCTGAGCAGGGTAAGTATGGTGACAATGCCATAAAACTTCATTGATTTTGTCTGGAACCAGCAGGTTTAATATAAATGGGAACACTTCAACTTCTGATGTGCCTACCAAGATAAGCACGAACACGATAGAAATATTATGTATAGCAAAACTGTTTGGAGAATCGTTCTTGATCAGAAGTGTAAGTAAATGGGGCTATATCTCCTTCTTAAATACCTTTTCACAGCCCATCAGACTTTGGGGTGGTGGTAAAAGGGTTGAGGCATGGTGATACCCTTTGTTCAGACAATGAAACCAGCAACAAAGCACGATCTTTCAATCAACAATGACAATTCAAAATCTCCTGAAGCATTTTACCTGATTTTACTCACCAGAAAGGTAGCAGAATGAATGAACCTAGTCTTTCAGGGTTAGAACACCATCTGAGAATGAGCGTTTTTATGTTCACATCTAAGTAACCAAACTGAGTTGCCTGTGAGTTTGATGGAGCATTGCCATCCTTCATTGATTCAAGATATATTGAAACAGAACAGACAAAACTCACATAGAACATGAAGACAAATTTTTTTTTTTTGAAAAAAGCCAGCATCCCCACTTTTCCCCCAGATTGCCAGCCTCAGCTTTTGCACCTATCGCTCTGATCCCGTCATACACATGGGGAGAAGATAAAATGCCGCAATTCAATCAACAGGATCCCCAATCCTCAGCGCGGTTCTCCCTGGAGAGATTTTCTCGCCTCTGCTCTTCAACTGGCCTGCACTTGCCGATCCCATTCTATGAATTTTATTTTAGGAGGCTGTTCCTCTCTCTATACCTATACACTCAGGCATATGTACATATTGCCCCAGCAATCCTCACGAAGGGGGATATAACTTACTGCGTACCACCCGCTACACTCAGGCCCCGGCAACAATCGCCGTAATATCCGCAAGGTGTGTCCACGGCGGTGCATACTCTTTTGGGTCCACATGTGCTGTCTCAGGTGTGGGCATAGCCATCGCGCCCGTGGCCAGTGCGATGAGGAGATTCAGGTGAAGATTCATCGTGGGTCCAGGGGTGGTGGATGGATGGATAGATCGATGGGTTTAAATTATGGACTTGAGCTTCGAGGCGATATGGGGAATGGTGAAAGAGCAATTTGTTTGAGGAAGGAGAGAAGCGACAGACGAGGAAAATCCCATTCTCAAATATCCACCTTTCGCGGATGGGAGATGAGAGAGTTGTGGATTGGAGGCTGTCAAGATTTCGGCTACCATATGTGGTGTATACTCGCGCTCGAATGATTCGACAAAAGAGGTATATAGGAAGCAGGAGATAAAATACCGGATGGAGAATAGAAGATCACAAAGATCGAAAAGGATGTTAATTAAAAGTTGCCCTTTGTCATGTACTCCAGCATGCTTACTTGTGTACCTCATTCTGACACCTATCATCAAGACTGCTGAAGCCAAGAAACCATCATCAATTTGATCTCCTGCTAAATGGGTAGAAATACATCTCACATACAACAACAGTGCCTGGCCTCTGATCAATCTCATAGATAAATTAATTGCCGTGTCAGATCATAAGTGAAGAGGGAATATACAGCAAGTTGGGGCATCGGTACACATCCGAAAAGCGTATATGCACCCGCGCCCCACGAGGTCGTGCCCCCTCAACCCCTCCAGAATTAGATCTTTTGGCCGTCGCGCCGTCCTACGCGCAACTACAGATGGGGGACTGGATAACTTCACGGACGACGAGCCGAAGCAGCACATCTCGCGACTGGAGGAAATGACTCTGCGCGCCAGTGAGGTGTTGGAATACTGGCTCAAGCGCCGTGATGCGCAGATTGGAGAGAAAGAAGCGTTCGAGGGCGTTATTGAGAACTTGGGGAAATATGCTCGGCAGGAGGAAGCAGTTTTCTGCTAAACGGCAGGGGTGGGCCGCCCCGGGGGGGGGGGGGGGGGGGGGGGGCGACTCATCAACTTCTCGGGGAAGTGATGCAGAAAGAAGGGAGCGACTATGAATGGGATACTTGATGCAATTGCTGGTGCCCATGCTTGATATACATATATCTTCATACGTCGCCAGGGCCCACCCTGAGTGGATTGCATTCAATGCATTCATTTCATCCAGTCACATCATCCCCCATCATATGGGCTTCACGGAAAGGATAGGCGGAAGGGGTTCGACGGCGGGAAGGGTCAAAGATGAAAAGACATGAGCAGGAAGGCTGCCATTTTCTTTTCTTGCTCCTCTTTTATCTCTTAACGGGAAACTCTCTTACATAACCCTCAAACCCTCCAACCCTTTTTGCTTTCTTCTTACTGTGTAAGCGGTCCTCCCTCCACACCGGCTCCCCGAAATCAACAACCCACTTAGTAGTATCTGTGTCTTGTTTCTCGCATGCCTTAATTTCGGAATCCCAAATCGCAAGCTTTCCAACCCCAGATACAATGCCGGGAGTACAGGGGCTGTGGCACAAACCGCATACTGTACCTCCGAAGAATCGGATGCCGTTGTGTCAAACGAGGCGCAGAAGGGGTAATACTGTTCTGCATATGTCCTTTGAGAATCTGGCAGTTACATGCATGACATGGTGCCTGTTAAGAGGAGTATTCTCTGGAGTTAACAGAGGGACGAAGAAATTCATTGTAGATTGTATATTGTCACATTGATGAAGGGGCAGCAACGTCATTCAATTATGTAAAATTTGCATCTTCATGAAGCAAACCAACCAGGGAAATTGGGGGTATTGTAGAGGAGATGAACGATGGTACAGTGTGAATGGACACAATGGGACCAAACAAATAAAAAAAAAGTAAAAGAGAAAAAGAGAAAAAAGCGCTTGGGATTCCACCTTCTGGTCTCGGGATATGGCCGTAACTATTCGTAAGAAATAAATCAAACGGTAGATATCGCGCGAAAAGAAAGGGGTGAGAAAAAACCTTTTCCAACGCCACATAATTCCATTCGATTATCCGCGAATATTAGTACCAAAACAGAAAACCCATCCACTCGTCAAGAATTCAACATATGGATGGATGTAGAAGTTTAAGCTGACGTCATGTTCCCGTTGTGCTCCCCCAACAAATTAATCGATAGAATATCATGTTCGCTGTCGTTTACAGGGAATCGCTTGCGTTTCGCTGATGACGCTGTTTCCATGGCCTCGGATTTTTGACTATCGATTTCCATATCCATCCAGATCAAGTCGCTGCGTGCGGAAGTGGCTGGATTCATAACGCGACTGAGATTATTCATAGACATGCTATGAGGCAAAGAGAGATTGCGGCCTGTGGAATGAGTGCGGGAGGGGTTGGAGGAGAGGAAAGGGAAGATTATGGACAGTGGCTGGCGGATCATGGGGAGACAGGCGCATATTATGCCCGTGTTGCATTCAACGACGCTCCAAATTGTGGCGGGAATCGCGGTCCCTGGATGATGACGCTGCTTGTTAGAGTTTGGAAGGTATGGTGGAAGAGGTGAGCAAAGTGTGTCTAGGGTTTAGGATGTGGTAATCACCACAGGAGGTAACACTGACAGGTTAAATCATTCATGGTGGAAGAAGAAGCTACTGTTGTAGCTCGGATGATGCTGGTAACGCAAACGCTGAAATTTTTGCAATTACGGACAAGTCAGTATCGTATCTGTTGGCAAGAAGGGGACGAGAAGTCATCTCCACTCACAATGCTCCCAGTGAGAAAACTAATACCAGCGCAAACTTATCTCGGCAGCGGAGCTGGAGCCGCAGGACTTCTTGCAAGGGAAGAATTAATATCAAGATATCCGTGATGATATTGATAACGGAATATGAGAGCCAGAAAGCATGGTTGTCTGCGCAGCGATAGGCGGGAATAGACTTGTCCCAGAATGCAGCCATGGGATGGCATTGCCAAATCGTTGCGAGCACAAACGCGGTGCCGCATGCTGCTATGAAGACATTGAGAGCAGTACAGGCCCAGCGAAAGTAGGCCTCAATATAGAAGATTCGCAGGTAGAGGAAAAGAATGGACATCTTGGTCAGGGTAATGACGATTTTGTAGAAGACTTGCGCAACATAAAACCACTGGATGTCAAGGTATATTTCCCTGGTCAGTATCATTTCTCCCAAGTCCAGCAGCGATTCAAGCTCCAGAACGAGAGAATACTTTGCAAGTAAAATTCATACCTTCAGGGACATAATTATTTCTTTTTCAGTCAAATCTATGGCATGTCTCCCGTACCCATTAGAGACGGCTATTTTGTGTTAGCTGTAAATCCAGGCAATATAACACTCGAGAACTGCGGAAACGACTCACCCATGTTTTCCGCGACTGTGAGAACGACAGAGTTGAGCTGTCCACCTTTTGTTAGACAAGGGGAAATCGCATCGCGCTCGCAAAGGCAGAATAACCAACCAAGGCAGCAAAGATTGTATAATCGTCGATCCTGAATTCTCCCTTCACGTATCTCCCTGCTAACCGAGCGACGACAAAGACACCGGCCACAACAACCATTGAGGTGCTGACCATCCATAGCTCCCATCCTCGACTAGGAAGTTCTAGATTATAATTTTCAATACTTGACATTCCGGACGAATTCTGTCAACCCGCAACCCGGCGCAGGCTCAAAGAAGGATAGGGCCGTCTGGCGGAGGCGGGAGGAGTGGTCTCATTCGACCTTGATTATCATTTGGTACAAATTCCTATCAAAAAAAAGAAAAATCCAGAGAATCGCAATGCACTCACTGAGAAGGGTAAAATCTCAGCCGCATTATTTGGACTCTCTGTTCTTGGTGACGCAGAATAATCGGGGTGACCAAGATCCCGAGCAACAACAGCTGGAGGATATTCAGCCACAACTGAAATAGTACTATATACCGGAGGTGTGATCGATATTTCAAAGAGCCGACGCAAGCTCATTTTTGTATGAGCGCTCTCGCCCGAAGGTGGTCAGTACTCTGGTAAAGCATTTTTTTTAAGTTACTCTATAAATATCGACGAGCGGCCCAGCGGAATTAGGGCACATCGGAGCAATGAATGCCATGCAATGGCACATGGCATATTGTCAGCTATCCCGGGTTTAGTGATGTCATCCGTGGTTGGTCCCCACCAAAGAACTTATATATACTGATACAATAAAAGGGGGGTGGGGATCCGGCATGATCGCAACACTCGTGCGGTCTCTGGCTGAATGGTATGCCAACTGAACTATGCAGTTGGATGTGCTTGCCGCTCCGGGTATAAAAGGTTTCGCATCCAGAGGGATAAAGAGGAGAAATGCGAAATGAATGAGAACACGAAATGAATAACTAACTTGATGACGAGTGGTTTCGTCGTCTGTGCGGAAAAACATCAGTTCCCGTCGAGAAGTGCGTTTCACGTTCATGTTTGGCTAGCGAGAGCACGCAACCGATCAAGCTGACCGCCGATCAGCGCGAGGTGATGCCTCATCACTATGCCCAGTCATAATTGGTGCTTGGCGATGATTTGCTGTTAAGAAGTAGAGCCTTCGGACTCGTGCTTCATGTGATTGTATAAATCTATTTTTAGGGTCGGTTTGATTAAATGTTGGGGAAATATAAAAAAATAATCAAACAAACATAAGGAGAGAGAAGGGGGATGGATGTAGAGGTCATAGAATTATCCAGTTAGTTGCTTAGCCACACTCATTTAGTTACGTAATCTGGCAGACGCAACTAACTAGTTAGTTAACTATTAATTAATTAATTCCCAGGGGTGAGCTGAACGCCGAATTTTATATTTATTCGACTAACTTGATTTTGACCAACTTTATCTATCTATGCTCATTGCTGAACTGTGACGAACGTCATATGAGTGTGGCATACTCTCAGGGTGGAGACTCGCGAGATTGAATGGCAGGCTGTTCAACAGGCTCAGGAGGTGGAATAACAAGATTCTGAGCTCCTTCAGAGAGAAGAATCCTGTGGGTAGATAGATCTCTTGCAAGCATTTTTGCTCCTCTTTCTCGTTTATATCCTGACTTTTACTTCTTTATAATAATGGCACTGATTATTTTACATTTATAAATCTTGATGATTTGATTAAATTCTTTCATACATCTTTATTAGCTTTTTTTGTAATGGGCTAGTAACCTTTCGTAACCAAAACTCCGAGCCCGGGTTAGCCTTCTGCCGGCCTGACCTTCAAGCATCCAGGTCTCGTTTCTCTTCTTTTCTCTTCTCCTAACGAATTCGCTTTTTGCTCTATAAATAAGTGCTAGAGCCTGTATTCCGTAGCACGCCCGTTACAATGGGTTAGGGAGTTATTCAAGTCCAGTGTTCCATTCAGTTAAGTGTTGTTCAACTCGCCTGGGAACTATGTTAACTAGTTAACTACATAGTAGTTTAGCATTAGCGAGCAGAGCATAGTGTAAAAACAGTGGTATATTCATTTATTAAATTCTACGGCTTTTAAGTTGGAGACAGCGATGCCGTCGTTGGTGTGTAAGCTGTCTCCCTATCACAACGGCCAAGGCTCGACCCGGCGTAGCTCAGTCATGTATGTGTCTAGTAGATAGATCTGCCCCGACGGCCTGTACCAATGCATGCTCCTGTCGGAAAGTCTAAGCATTGGTTAGCCTCATATTATTGGAGGGAGAAGCTAGTTAACGATATATGCTATGTGCGATCACGGACGGCGGGACGGCCGGGGCAACGGCTAACCCAAGATACAGTAACATTCCGCGGTCTGCTTCCCACGCTCGCTAACTCAGCTCAGCGCCATTCCTTCAAATCCGCAATAAAAATTAGATGCTGGTTTCCTGAATGGGGAAGGCTTCTTCTGTACGAAACGTAACTGTAAAATCAAAGCAAAACAACGCAAAAGCTCATCCATCCTTGTATTCTAAATATTACCACCCGTCCTGGTCCGTGTAAAAATTCAAATTGATCTCCGCCAATCCTAACTTGGCAATGGAATCGACGAACGCGGGCTCCGCTAGGGGTTGCGAAATCTCGATGTGGCGCGATCGCCTTGGTGAAAGACTTCCCCTGGTCTCTGAATTCAACCAAGGATCCTCACAACAATAGCTGGAAGTCCTTGTTGAAGATCAGCAGAGGGCTTCCCCTCTACTTGCTCTCATTTGCCCAGCTTCATGCTGAAATCTCGCGATCTGAAATCTCGCGATCTCTACTAGGCCACCCACGTTGCCTGACATCATGCCTCCAACCGGGCCTTCAAATTCGTCGTTCGGTTAACTAGTTTAACTGTAGACTCAGATCCAGTGTCATGGCCACTTGGACCACCCGCGTTGTCTGACATCGCGCCTTCACACCACGCCTTTAAATTCATCATTCAGTTCGTTAACCGTCTTGTTCGACTTGTTAATCAGATCATCAGGCTCAAGAGCCCCACAGGTGTAAAATTTTCGGTTTGTTGCCGGCGTTGGCAAAGAGCCACTGTCTAGTCGATTCTCTGGCGTCTGGTTCCGCCTTCTCGGTGGCACGTAGTCTTGCGTTAATAAGGTGTTTCATCGGATCTCCCATTAACCATGAATTTAATGAATAAAGTAAAGGCATCTAGGCACGCGTCAACGAAGCGTGGAGACGGCCTCATAACCTCATGGAGGAATGACGTTGTGTGTAAAACTAGCTAAGCCGGGAAGATGCGAAACAACAGTTTACTTGGAGGATCCGCCACTTGCTGTAGGGGCTATGCAACAGTTGTATTTCCACGCCGCACCCAGCCATTATGCCAAGCTTTACAGGTTCCCGTAGCCATACTTGATCGACACCAGCGAATGTGCGCACTCACTTTTTCGCTTCCAGCCACCACCACCTGATACTTCCTCCCCACAGCGATTGTTGTGGCGAGAAATTTCTCCTGTTGCTTCAGTCTCTCCTCAACCTCAAAATACGATATATATATATATATACAGGACTGCCTTCTTCTTCTTCTTCTTCTTCTTCTTCTTCTTCTTCTCCTCCTCCTCCTTCTTCTTCTTCTCCTCCTCCTCCTTCTTCTCCTCCTTCTTCTTCTTCTTCTTCTACTACTACTGTTCTCTAGTCTCCTCTACTGTCTATACCACGTATCAGTGCCTCTTTCTCACACAGCTACTGTTGTTCCTAGTCTCTCTATATACATGCCCGTACACGGCGTCCGTAATGTCTTTCCTTGCATGGCATCGCTTTGACCTTCTTGCTGGACTCGGCACGAAGAACCTGACAGAGGCTCCTAAGGGATAACCTACCAGTTCCCCGTGTTATCATTGCCACTCGTTGCTCTTTTTTGAACCGATCTGTGAATCAACTCTTGGTTTCATCTGATCAGGTCGGTCTGCATTAGCTTACGCTTTCCCCGGTTGGATTCCCAGCCCGTATATACATCGAGAGTATAGTCTCGAGATCCTGGACTTTCGATTCCCCCGCGATTCCAGTTTTTAACGTGCCATGCCTCCCCAATTCGGGTTTAAAAAAGCGGTGGCGCGGGCTTACTGGAGCTCGATTGATGCCCTCTCCACTGCCTTGAAAGTCCTCGGCACCATCAAGTCTCGAATACCGATTATCTCCAGTATACGGATCAATTTTATATCCATTCACTATGCCTATATTATCAGCTGTTCGATCGTTTGCTCCGTTGTTCTCTTCTCGATTGGGAACATGAGTTACATCGATGCGCTGCTGTTTGGTGCCGGTTCTTCCACACAGAGTGGCCTCAACCCGATTGACGTAAATCTGCTGTTCACCTACCAACAGGTTGGGGTATATTTTACTTCCATGATCACCAATCCAATCGTCATCAATACAGCCGTCGTTTTCATTCGTCTTTTTTGGTTTGAAAAACGCTTCCAACATGTAGTTCGTGAAGCGAAGACATTGAGACGTTCTAAGTCAAGGTCCAGAACGATGACACGCGAAGTCGGTGAACAAGGTGATCGCAATCACAATCGGGAGGAGATGGGGGTACGAGGAAGGCATATTGTCCTTGTACGAAACAGCGATACCGGACAACCTCGAACACAAGTTGCGGTTCCAGATGCTGTGGAAAAATCAAGCCCAGAGTCCACCTCGGAGAGCGACGTTTCGCCAACAATAAATCCTGATAGCGTGACCAATGGCGACTGGATAAGTCAAAATACAGCAGGGACACAGAACCGAGGCAGCGAGTCCAATGTGAAGAGGTCTACAGCTCCGGATGATACTGATGAGGACGGCAATCTCAGAGCACCTCCACACTTGAGCCCGGAACACCATATTGCTTTCCTAGAACACCAAAGAAGGGAGACTGGGGCCTTGCGTATTCCAAGTCCACGAGAGTATGATAGAGGAGGAGTTCCTCAGTCGATAGACGATGATATTGATGATACAGATTTGAAACCAACACATACATCACAATCGGAGCAGCCTTCCAATCCGGCTCAATTGTCACAATTTCAACAACAGCTCCAGTCCTCGCCGGGTCAGCATATCACCATTGATGAACCTGACGTCGTTCGGGTGCGGTCGCGGACGGCTACCCTGCCTCGAATTAGCTCCCGCTATGGGCCAAGCACTGCTACAGCGGGACCCGATGAAAACTTTCCCAAACCAACTCGAAGGGGAACTTTAACTAGTATCTTTCGATCTGCATCAGCTCAAGATGCCGATGTTGATTCAAGCCCGTATCTTAGTTGGCAGCCGACAATTGGTCGAAATTCCGCATTTGTCGATTTAACCGAAGCTCAAAGGGATGAACTAGGTGGCATTGAGTACAGAGCTCTGAAAGCTCTTGCAGTCTTGTTGATTGGATACTTCTTCTTCTTCCATCTCCTAGGCATTGTTTGCTTGGTGCCATGGATCATGCAACAAACTAGATTCGGTGATATTGTCAAAGCTGCAGGCCAAGGTCGGCCGTGGTGGGCCATTTTCACGGCTGGCTCATCTTTCAATGACCAGGGCTTCACACTAACCCCAAACTCGATGATATCTTTCTTCGATGCCATCTTTCCTCTCCTTTTGATGGCGTTCCTTATAATTGTCGGAAATACTGGCTTTCCTTGTATGCTGAGATTCATAATTTGGGTGTTTTCTCACTTGGTTCCTCATGGCGGCCCACTCTGGGAAGAATTGCGCTTCTTGCTAGACCACCCAAGGCGATGCTTTACGCTTCTGTTTCCCCGCGCAGCCACATGGTGGCTATTTGGCTTCCTTGTTCTGCTCAACGTGGTTGACGTGATATTTTTTGTCATCTTATATGTAAGTCACACTTCTTCAGGAGCGCCGTTTACGACTCCGCGTACTAATTGATCCAATAAGTTAAACAACTCCGAAATCTCGAAGATCCCTGGAGGAATACGGTTCGTGGATGGCTTATTCCAAGCAGCAGCTACGCGAACAGCCGGTTTATCGGTCGTCAATCTGGCTGAAGTCCACCCTGCCGTTCAGGTATCCTACATGATTATGATGTATATATCCGTTTTTCCTATTGCCATTTCAGTCCGTCGAACAAACGTCTATGAGGAGGGTAGCTTGGGTATCTATTCGTCTCCATACGTACACAAAGAGGACGGAGACGAGGCTTTCGAAGCAAAGGAGTTCAACTACGTCGGGGCCCATCTTCGAAGGCAACTCAGCTTCGATCTGTGGTTCATTTTCCTCGGTTTATTCATCATTGCCATCGTCGAGGCCGGCAGACTTGACAACACCGGAGAAGATTCTTTCAGCATGTTCGCCGTTTTGTTCGAAATCGTCTCCGCGTACGGAACTGTTGGTCTATCACTGGGCTATCCGGGCACCAACACATCTCTCTGTGCACAGTTCAAACCTCTGTCAAAATTCATAATCATCGCAATGGAAATTCGTGGCCGTCATCGTGGTTTGCCATACGAGCTTGATCGTGCCATTCTGCTTCCCTCCGAGTCTCTGCAGCGCAGGGAACTTGTCGATGCCAATAAACGATCGAAACGTCCTGGATCCCAGGTCAGCGTGCATTCGGGAGTCACTGGGCAGGGGCAGCCACAAACAACCAATCCGCAGCAGGATATAGGTTCGTCGAGTGGATATCAGAGAGACGGGCCACACGGTTCACGATGGTCGGAGGCAAACTCCCTTGCTCCGACTGGCGCCGTTACTATGACACCTCGGTTAGCGACTCACCATGAGATTGCCTAAAGTGTAAAATTAAAATTGGACACAGTGGTTTTTTTAAGTCACTGGTATATCCTTATCTTTGCCCTACTGTGATTGCTATGTTTGAAACTCCTGGCTGGCCATTTTCGAGTTTTCGACATTACACTACTACTTGCGTCATGGGGCGTTGGTTACACTTACTCTATTCTTGTCTGCGATTTAGCGAGCGGTTTGCTGATACCATGTTAATTTTTGGATTTTTTTTTTGTTCGAATTTTGATATTGGGAGGATTATTTTCATTGTGCGCTTTTAGAGGTTGGCTCTTTTGGTTCCAGATGTAGTTTTACCGTGCGGCGCAGGCGGCCATAATATAGATACAAATGTAATACCTAATGTTTTCTTAATGCTAGAATTATAACTTACCCCGTAATATGAGGTGGGACGTGTTCACATTCCGCTATCGTAAACCAGTCGATTCCGCACCGTAGGAGAAGCGAGGAGCGACATTTCTTTATATGGTCTTACATAACTAAGTATGGAGTCATCTGTGTTGTGTTGTGAATCTTGAAAAGTAGTCACCGGAGCCGGAACTGGGACTCGACGGGAATATTTGACGAGGATAAACCAACAACATTCCAATTTCCATCTCTTCTTCACCGCGCAATTCCGTGATGCTGATAGCTGGCTGGAGCGCTTCCTGCAGTGGACGCTGGATCTTGAGTACACTGCTTGGATCTAACTATGATCGAGTTAACTTTGTTAGAGATTAACTAACTAGTTAACTAGATAACTAGTAGTTACTTAACTAACTGACTAACTCGCTCTCTGGCAGTTCGTTAATCTGTTCCGTTTGTTTCCCGATAGAGCTCAATTGCATGAATACGGGGAGGGGTTGAGATATGCATGCAACCTCTGTTGCCTTCTCTGTTTCTGATACGTACGCTATTCGTGACCAGCGTCCCGGAACCTTTCACTGCAGCTTGTGTTCTCCAGTTCGTGCAGTGCCGTTTGTTCCCAGCGGCCTATTCAGCACCGCTTTAAGTAACCCTACGAATATAATCCGAGCAATCCACGCACAGCTCCACACGAATAGCAATTGCGGTGTCCATCGTGAACATGGACGGGGATTCTGAGAGGTCAGTATGTTGCTTTTCACATGGAGGGGTATCTGGTTTTTACGACGTTTGAAGTGGATTGATTGATGCAGCTACAAGCCCCTTCGTTTTCTCTCTCAGGACATAAGTGGACTTGGTAGCTATATTTATACACTCAAGACCGTGTTCATTCCACGAGGATCTTGAGTCCCCGTCAGCCTGCATGCGACAATCTCTTCGTTGGAAGATGCAAGGGTGCGTAGCTTTTCTCACTGGTGAACTAATAGTTATCTTAGAGCGGGCAAAAACAATGAGGATTGCACTGAAGCATTCCTCTGGATTCAGAACCCCCCGGGAAGCTTGACATTTGATTTCAGAAAAGAAGAGTCTGGAAGAGATCGTGCTATGTACGTACAGGTTGTACATGTATATGTTATATGTACTCCGGCTTACCAAGTTACTGCAGCAGTTTTGACCGTTGACATGCATTTATGATGCAGAACTCTAAGGTTGGCACCGCAGTAAATCTTCAAATCTGCAAGATGGAAAAGTTATCGGGCCCAAGATCTCCAAATGGTGTTCATATAACATGTTCTGCAGAATGCTTTGAGTTTCGAGGTTTCTTCCCTGTTTGCGCTGCTCAGCCAGGAATTCACTGATGTTTCATTAATTGCTGCACCCAGGAGCCGCGATTGAACCCCAAAACGGGTTTGGTCCACCTCCGGCTGGCAGCAACAGCGAGCATAGATTACCATAGAATACTGTCATTCACTTTGAGACGACTGCAACGGTTTGCCGACTCTGCGATCTTTATTTCCTTGATTGGTATCCCCGTTATTCAGGTTTTGCTGCCCTGAATAACGGTATTGGAAATGACATTCCCTCCACCAAGTTGACTAGGAATTACGTTCCAGAGCTCATAACATCCACTACGCTACAACACCATGGCTCCCCTTCGCGGCAAGATATCCGTTGGCGAACTTCTATATATATTGTTTTTCTTCGTCAAACATTCCTGGTCTATTGCTTCCTCCCGATGCCAGTTCGATTTGATGTTTCAGTGCCCCCCCCCCCCCCCCCCCCCCCTCTTTTTTATTAACTCCCAGGCCATCTTTGACGATAATCTTATCACGATAGCTATCTATCTTTGATATCCCCAGTTCTCCTTCTCGCTTGTTCCTCCTTAGCTAGCGCAAGCTTCATTAGTGCTACGAGACCTACCAGAATACTCTCAAACAATCTCTGTTTGGCCGCTCTATCTTCTGTGAGCTTAAGCCTTTCAACCGCTCTATGAGCAAAACATTACCTGCTGGGATACTGGTTTCGTAGATACTATCTTTGAAATAGATACTATCTTTAAAATGGATTCGTCCGGCACCCCTTATGTTTCTTACTACAGATCTACGGGAGCAGCAGTTCTCCCTATCCTTGCCTTTCTGTCCATTCTGGCGTGCATTCCCCCGTTGGTTTGGCACTCCCGGACGGGAAATTTTCCTGCATCCTGCCTCATCGCCTGGTTCATCGTTTTCAACATCTTCAACTTCATCAACCCACTTATCTGGCCCACGGATGATGTTAGTCGATGGTGGAATGGCGCTGGCCTATGTGATGTTGAAACAAAGCTCATGGCTCCTCTTGGAGCGGGAATCGCAGGAGCTCTGAACTGCATCTTTCGATCGCTTGCAGATGTCATGAACACAGATCGCACCACCCTGATTCCCAGCAAGGCTCAGCGGAGACGAACTCTTGCTTTTGAAGTAGTCTTTTGTGTGGTTATCCCCGTCCTGATGATGGCGCTCCATTACATCGTTCAGCACCGTCGGTATTACATTTTCGCGATTGTAGGATGCATGCCTGCCTTTCATCCAAGTTGGCCAACGACAGCGTTAATCTTCTCATGGCCACTGGTTGTTTTATCCCTAGCTACGATCTACTGCGGTATGTCCTGCATATTTTGTCAGGTTCCATTAATATGTTCAGCACCAAACTAATATTGGACTCCTTCCTTCAGGCTTGGCTATATACCGACTTTTCAAGTACCGCCAGCAGTTTTCCTACATCGTTTCCATCAGCAGCAACTCAAGCAAATCAAGATTTATTCGACTCCTGGCTCTGTCGCTCGTGATGTTGCTAGGCAGCTTCCCTGTTCAAATTTACGTTTTCTACTGCAATATTACGCTGTCCCAGCCCTGGGTCCCATACTCCTGGAATGACGTCCATGGACCTGCATGGGGAAATGTCGAGAAGTTACCAATGAACGGCGTAGTCTATTACGACCGTTGGATCCAAGTCTCCTGCGGCTTTCTAATCTTTGCTTTCTTTGGTTTCGGAAAAGATGCAACATTGATGTACCGGAAAGTCCTCCTTCAGATTGGCTTGGGCCGGTGCTTCCCTTCTCTACAACATCCACATATCGTCACCAGCAAAGCCTCTGATTCAACACGGTTTGGCTCCCTTGGTAGCCGTGTGAAGATGGTCCCTAAGAAATATCAGTCCATGGATGACTATTCACCGACTCTATGGTAAGTATATTTTTTACGTATTTTGTGCCCCACTCGAACCTCGAAAGCCAAGCCCGTGTTTCCCTCAAAATGGTCTCTGACGTTGGCAAAAATTTTTCAGGACTCTAAGATCTAACTCTGTATCCACGAACACCATGACGTCGATTGACCATGACCGCCATCCCTCTAGCATGGTCATGATAAATAAAACCTTGCCTCTAGCACCCCGCATCCCAAAGACCGGCCAGCGGGTCTTTAGCATTGCCCCAGTGGCGGAAATCGAACTGGATGACCATGTGTGTATCCATGAAAAGACGCCAGCTTCCTCTCAGGTTTGATCAATCCCGACATTCAACGATGAACCAGACAGCCAAGTGGTGATTGATAGGATGGGCCGCCATAATTTGACCTGTGTTTGATGTTTCTTGCGTGCATATGTTGCAAACGGTTCCTTGTCTTTATACCTTTCAGTTTTCTCCTTCTCATTTCAGTATATTCCACTTTCCCGATGCCCCATCCCTTGTTCCTCTTCTACGGCTGTCGAGATACAATAACAGCACGTAAGTCTCGATACTGCTTTGAGCAGACATTTGAAGCTGTTTTGTCTCGCATCTTCCCCCCCCACTTTTTTTTTTTTTTTTTTTTTTTTTTTTTTTTTTGCTAACTATTTATTAATTTACTTTCATTGCGTGGATGGTGACTTTTGAAATAGTGCAGGCCAGGTGTCGTACTTCACTTATTTTCCCTTGCACTATTTTCTCTCAAAATTTGCCACCAACAAACTGAAATATGCATGATACCCATTTTAGATGATATGATATGGAACAAACCTGACGTTTTCTCTTTGACATCTTATTCCCCCGTTAAGTTTAATAGGGTCCCTCCATGGAATATTATAGGAACGAAGGAAAATGTGGATTTCAAATTGAGAATTCAGACTGAATACCCCTTATTCGTACATACATACATACAGACATATATTTTGCGAATCAAGGAGTCATGGTTCGTTGCAAAACAGAAACTCCGTCAGAATTTTTCCCCCACCCCCTTGTATCCTCCATAGTAAGGCAAATGAAATAAACCACAAGAGAGAACGAAAAAGGGTTTGAATACGCTTTACACCCTATACACCACGCGTAACTTAAGTACGTGTAAATAGTAGTTTATGCCCTATGTGTTAATGTTGGCATATAAGTGCACAGTAGCAAACCATACGGCCAATCGTCTTTTCATCAGACTGACAGAAAATAAATCTGTGAAGTAAAAGGGCTGCATCATTCATGTGCAAGTTCGATCACTCCCTCTCCAATTTCGATGCTTTACTCGCTAGATCCGCGTCTAAGCACTTCGTAGTGTCCTACGGGTTTTCAACAGGTCCTAGGTTAGTTGTTTTGTACGTAGCAATAGTGAATGGAGAGTGGATTGGGATGGATGTATATTTATGCGGATACGTGGAATTTGGGAGGAAACATAAATAGAGGCCGAAGGAAGGATGTGAAAGGGAGGGACACCAACGTTGGATGATATTAAGGGCGGGAATTTTCTTTCCATCCGAGTCTTCGTATGAGCGCATGCTGGCGTCTCCTTCTATGTACAGCAGGGTACTATCGCAGAAAACAGGTATACGGTTAGCTAATAGTTCCTGTTGAACAGATGAAACGGGAAAAGAACCGGTAACGGATCCTCAACCCCCGGTATGGAAACATGGTGGAAAAAATAACCCCACTCCCCCGAGGAATCAATTTTAGATATCTATAAAGACGAAAAGAACTAAAACCATGGCAACTTACCCCTTTGGCAAGTTGAGCAAATGCTCTCTAGAAGGTCCTTCGGGAGCAAAGCTTGTGATGCGCCACCAGCTCGTCTGGCGATCCTCTTTGAGTCCATAGCTGGTCGCGACGGAGTAGCTCACCAGCTCTCGCCCCCCTGAAGTGGCGCGGAGTTCTGGCTGGCCTCCGAGGTTGCCGACGAGGGTGATGCGTGCAATGGCATTCGGTCGGGTTGTACTAAAAGTCCGGGTTGCGATTGGTGCCCGGAAGAGCGGTCGGAATGTGGTTAGACCGCGCATTCTGAGTTATGGGGAATTGGGTGCTGGTGGGTAGAAACGGAGATTGGTCTGGTGAAAGAGCGTGGAACTGTCTGTTAGTGAATGTTGGATGTTGACCTCTTGTTTGTGTTGATATCCCTTTTTATACGGATGGGAGTCGCGAAAGGCGTGCCACGTGATTTGCAGAGACTTCAAGTCATGTGATATAGGACCACTTTTACTTTTTACCCCTGAATCCTTTTTTTTTTTTTTTGACCTCGTCATCTCATTCCGCAGCAAGAAACTGGAAGAAGGGATATGGAATGTCCCAATTTACATCAAAAGCCCATATTTCGGTGTGCTCATAGGATACTGTGTATGATTTTTTTTTAGAGATATTCTACATTTGGCCTCAATATGCCCGAAATTGCGACGTATTCAATCGGTCGTTGGCAGACGGTTCGAGGAAAACCTGAATGGCCGGCCCAAGAAACATACCGACCAGGTCAATGGCCCCTGGTGGTGTCTTGAACCAATAATTTGGCAAGTTTTTTGTTTCCATCTTTGTTTGGGTGAATCCCCTCTTCCGTGTCCTTTGCTGCATCGAACCCGGACAGGCAGTCCACGTCAGTTATAGGGCTGTTAACACTCTTTCGATTTCTTTGGCGCCCATATAGCAATTGCGCTGTTAAAATGCTTGACCCCTTTGCTGCACGTACTACAGTCTGGGGGATTCATTGGAATGATTTGTGCCTCCTTTGAGTAGAATTAGACAAGTTGAGAATTGAAGATGGTTGATCAGTTCAAACATGGTCTGTAGGTGTGGGAACTGGGAGTCAAAACAGGGCGAAGATGTGGAAATATTGAAGAATAAAGAACAGTCAGAACCCACAAGTATGACTTTGTTTGGCTTAACCTTTCTCATTTGATTCACCAAAGTCGATATGCTTCGAACTGGAAAAACCCAACAGATCATTCGTGCCTAGATGCATCATGACAATATCTGGCTTTGCTCTCTTTCAACCCGTAGAAGAACGAGACTTTTAGCAACGCTTTCTGTGGCCCTCGTTCTCGCTGTCGTATTCGAATCAGAAGTAGGCTCCCTACGAAATCCGTATCGGTGATATTAGCCTCCTGAAGCTGTTTGCAGAGTAAAGCACGCCAACAACACTGGAGTGTGCCAGACAATTAACGACGCTTCCATCCGATATCTCGGGGTGAATCCTGATCCCGCCTACATTAAGATGTCAGGGAATGCTGGGGGTCAGTAATTACCGGAGAGGCGGTTATTGAATCGCCTAGTGACATGATCTTTACCAATTCCTGCTTGTTTGTCTCGCTTGGGATCCTCACTGCAATGGTGACGCTTTCAAGGCAAACCAATGCCTTAAGAGATTTTTTAAGACGTTTCATATTTCCTCTGGGACAATTAAAATTTAATCGTCCGGAAATTGTCGTTTTCTAAATTCTAAAACGACCACCTTTAACCGGAAGGGTAAAAACTCCATGATTATATTCGGAGAAGACATATACGCAGATGCGTGTCCCCCTGGTGCTGGACATCTTGTTGTATTTATTTGTGTCTTTACAAACAGATGATTCTCCAGAGTAGGGTGCTTACATCCGCAGGCCCTCCAGTTTGTGAGCATAATCAACGATGTGATAGAAATCGTCATCTCTACATCTCCCAGCGAGTGTCTTGTCCTGCTCAGTGACCTTCCCTGCATTGGAGTTTGTTTCCCAGGGTAGATCTTGATAGCAGCTGGGTTGCGTACTGAAGGCCCATGCATGGGTGGCAACCTTAATCTAAATTCAACAACTCCTAACGGTCCAGGTTGGTATGATGTCCGTCGCCTAACACGACCGGTGGAGGAGGTACGACCGCTTTCTATTATATCTTCTTCAGAGAGCAATGGATATTCAACATGCGACTCTACGGAGTATCATTTTTGATGATAAGGAGTCTCTCCAATGACATCCCCCAACGAACGCAATCTCTTTCGTTCTTGAGCATATGTGCTCATCGATTGGGATGGGATAAGTGGTTGGCATACTCTCAGGCATGTGTATGCGCATATCCCCGATTATACCTGGTTTTGGTCCATTGAACTTTTTAATTCTGGAAACACCGTGCCATGCTTCACCACTTTGATATTCTGGTGGGAGAGTTCGAGAAATCTTTGTGCCATGTTCTGCCAGGCGTATGAGGCGCTGGCATCTACAATGTTATGACTACTGATAGACCATCGTCCTGAACATCACCGATGCTCCAGTCTTACATATGTTGACACCAGCTGATGAGATTTCCATGCTTAACCCATCTGTCCCACTGACTGCCTGGCACTTTTCTTTCACCGACGAGTTAAAAGTTGAAGAATACAGAGTCTTCTTTCAGTATTTTAAATTCATCATGAACGTGGTTACCTTCGCAGGCTTGATATTTCTTTGGGCTACCAAGTGTGGAACAACGGGCTGATGATGGTACCGCCACTGAACTTGGAAATGGACGTAGAGCGCTTAAATTGTGCTCCGGTGAGACTTCTTTGAGCAACCATACCATACCAGGACGTCAATCTTGATGCTCTCTATTGACCCGAGCCGACCAAATAGGACTTCCCGCAATCTCCCTTTCGGGACAAAAGAAAACTGGTTGTATATAATTCTCCAAATGTCGTTTCTTTCGTCAACCTTTGGATTTGATAGTGTTGACCACCGAAACTGTGTAACAAGCTTTGCCTTAATGGCATTTTCCCATATTCTTGTTTTCCCGGCCGCGTGAAGGGTGTTATTTACACAATTTCTCTTCTCAACCCTGGCACCTCCGCGATTCTTTGAAAGCACTATGAACGCCATGGACGGTGGTGACGCTGACTTTCCGGAACAATCGATTGTAATCCCTCTGGTATTGGCCACATTGCTAGGTAGGCAATTCCAAGATCATAGCTCGGATTCCAACTGTATTGGAGCCGCTAGAAATGCATATCACAAACTTTGAGACCGTTGTACTGTATGGTACAGTACTGAATATCCCCACCCCAAGTCATATCTGTGACATATGCCATAGGGACCCAAGTTATCGGTGCAGGACTCTAGAGATCTCTATCAGCTGGAGGCTGGGGATTGAGGAACAGACGAAGATGTAATAAACTTCACCGCAGTAACTAGTCAAAATGCATTGCTGTATTCCCTGCTGTTTATTCCAGGACATTTCTCTACTTATTGGGCAAACAGCACACGTCGCATTGACAAAGAGGGCAGCTTGCATCGCAATTAGAGACATGTCTTGGAGAAGTACTCAATTGTAGCCAACTTCTTCTGTTAATAATGGAGATTTGGAAACGATCAGAGGACATTGTACGCCAGTTAGGTGAGACAAAATGTGGGGAAAGAAATCTGAGCTCTGACCTGACCGGTGTGGGGACCATGCGGATGGGCTTATGGGCCATGGGGAGTAGTCCTTTAACTGGAGTTTAGTTAAAGACCTAACTAAACTTCGGCCTGATCCGCACCCGTGAACCCTATATTCTTAATATTCCTTAACCCACCATCAAATGAGCTTGCTTTCACCCCCTTTCTAGGTTTTTGAGCTGCGGGAGTTGCCTCTCCTGTAGAATGTCTGCATCATCTATCCGTGCGCCACAACTTTGAGGAGCAGCCCCACACATCAATGATTCTCCCTGCTTCATGCAACGATTTCAAGATACATCTCCCGCCTATCGACAATTTGCAATTTTTGTTCTGGTTCAAGCAGCGCGGGCCGAGACCAGCCTCGTTGACGTACCAATTTTTCCAATGACCACATCACCTTTACCCTCACACGGGGCAATAATGGTTGTCAACGAGTCAATCCACTCGTCTTAATTCTGAACACCGTAAAGTAACCGTGAAGATGTGTCTGTATCACAGCCGCTCCTTGATCTTGTGGCTGGACTATTTGCTGGGCATGGCTCAAATTATCCTGGCGAACCCATATCCCCCAATTTGTCTACCTTCAGCTCTCGGGGCTAGCTAGCAAACTTAAACAACGGATGGATGGCTTCATCGACACTTGATAAAAATAATCTTCGGGCTGCCGATGATAACTCTGGCAACTATTCGGATGTTCGCTTACAGATTGCCAACTGGTCCAATAACCAATGATACCGCCATATTCCTTTTTTTCAAATCTGTCCGTCCACGGACCATGCTTGGAAGCTCCCTCAACGACGTCTGAACTAGCTAGGGATTTCTGCAACACTTGATTTGATGGCACACTTCAAGTCTGAGGTGGCGGTCTTCCCCTTTTTTTTTGTCTGGTGCGCTGGTGTTGGTTACAGGGGCTGGCTGTTTGAACACTCCTTGGCTGATTCGCGATGTGTCTGGCTAGGAACGAACTCAATATATGCGCATCACTGAGATTACCGGACCAGGAACCCTTCTCCGCCTGTGCCTTGTGGAGCATTTCCTGGATGGATATATCCTAGGAATAAGTATTAATGGCCAGGTTCCCACTAGATCAGGCTACATGCCCTCTACTGTGATCTTTACAACCGAACTTGATTGATTGATCAAGAAGACCCCACTGGATATCAAAAAAAAGCTCTCCATCTCTTTGAGCTCCGACAAAACTGCAGAGGCGGGAAGCTCCCAATCGAACGCAAATCCAATACTTCTGTGTTATGTTCCATCGTTGGCTTTTCCATCGATTTTCAAATTCCAGATGTATTAGCAATAATGCCAGACCTTCAAGGAAAATAAACCTCCACCCGTCACATAACAATCTGGAGGCCATTTTCGGGATGATTTAAATTTCCTTTTTCTCTTTCCAGTTTGGACAACTTCGAGGAGATTTATTCTATACTCAATACACGGCCTAGATTCATACGACGTGCCGACACTCTGTTCCTTGTTGCTCCTGGAATTTTGAGAGCTGCTCACCATGCGCTCCAGTTTTATATGCATGGTTTTTTACTCATTTGGCATCATAGGCCCAACATGTGCTGGCGGAATTGAAATTCTCCCAAGACAAGATACTGGAGTCTCGCAACCACCTTATAGTGCTCCTACGAGAACATCACCGGCAACCGACCCTTCCAGTAAGCCGTCGGATATCCTTACGGGGACAGTCTCTGCTTCCCATGCTCATATGACGTCGAAATCAGATCCAACCGGTACCACTGGCGTCCGAACCGATATGACTACTACCCAAGGTCCATCTCCGACTGACCTTTCTTTCTTGGACGGTGAATTATTCCGGCATCCCATATGTGAACTACACTAACCCTAAGTAGACCAGAAGCAGGATCCGAATAAACTTCCTCTTCCACCCAGAATTAACCCAGGTTTATCTGTTGTTGGCATTGTGCTTATTATAGCAGGCGGGATTTATGCATTGATTGGAGTGAAAACTAAATGGTCAGGTTACTTTCGTCCACCACTAGTTTTGCTCGGCTACTAATGTCTCTACAGGATTCAAATATTCCTGTCAACAGGATTTTTATCTGCAGTTGCTGTGACCGTATGCACGCACTTCCCACCAACATCTAGACCTATGCTAAAGTTCGCCTCCAGATTCTCATCATATACCTTATCCAACCCCCGGTTAGCAATGCGACGCAAGGTGGCTTTGTTGTTGCAGCCGTAGCAACGGGTGCAATATTTGGAGGTGTTTCTTTAGCCTTCCAGGAGGTCACAGAAAGGCTTGGGTCTATGCTAGGCGGGTTCAGCCTAAGCATGTGGATTCTTTCGATGAAATCAGGTGGTCTTCTCGTAGAAACCGGCCACAAAGCAGCCTTTATAACTTCTCTTACTCTAGCTTTATACTGTCTGTCATTCCATCACCTTACACGACCTTATTGGTTGCTGGCTTCGACCTCCTTTTCAGGCGCCACAGCGATCGTTTTAGGCATTGATTGCTTTAGCAGGGCCGGGCTGAAAGAATTTTGGGTCTACATTTGGGGTGAGATTGCTCGGGTACTATCCACTTTTGAATCGTGCTAACATAGCAGCAGGGTTGAATGAGAAAATGTTCCCATCCAAGACAAATACGTACCCAATCACGCGAGGAATTCGAGTGGAGATTGCAGCCATAGTTGTCGTCTTCTTGATGGGGCTTATATCGCAATTCAAGCTCTGGAAAGTTATCAGAGACCGTACACAAAAGACTACTGCTTTGAAGGAAGAAGAACAGAAGGAGCGCGACCAAACTGAAGAAGAAATAGCGAGAAATCTAGAAGAAGGTACGAGACGAGAAAGAGCTCGTTGGGAAACCATATATGGCGACCGGCCGGGAAAGCCCAATGACTCTGGAATTGTAATGGTACGGTCCGACACGCAGAGAAGTGGCTCGGGAGCGCAAAGTGATAGCACACCCTTGGGACAAAGTCGGACTGCCGAGATGGAATCATTGCGCAAACCGGACGGAGATGGTACACGGGAATCGACCCTGCCAATTTTCACAACTGCTGGAATGCCAATTGAACACCATGATCCTGCGTCTATTGGCTCCGCCATCGAGGATATAAATGACCCCAACTCGAACAGAGGTAGTAGCGAACAGGAAGCTATGCAAGAACCGCTGAATTCAGCGCAATCGCACCATCCGCCAGCGAACACTGAGGTGCACGTTTCCGGTGGTATTCCAGTGTATCCTTTCAGGGCCAACCACTTCGAAGATGTCTTGGACGACGGCTCGAGCTCTGTAGCTGCATCATTGGCGGAATCTAACTATATGGCGGGCATAGATTCGAGCACAATTTCTATACATTCAACCCAACAAGCAACACATGATCAACATGGGGGATGCAATCCCATATACGATCATAGTAATAAATTGGAGTTTCTTATTGAGACTCGGAGCATTACTTCTTCTATTGAGGTTGAGCCGAACGAAGAACTCGTCTATGATCCTGAAACCGCTTCTAAGGTTGAGAACCCCTTTCGAAATAGTTTATCTACGATGAATTCAGATATAGAAGGTACAGCTGAACCAGCTCCCATTGCCGAGCCCGATTCAACTACGTTGGAGAATGCCAGCGGCGGTGAAAGCCCTAAAAGAAGCGAACCTCCTCCCCCAACTGTTACGGTTGGAGTGGCAGACGTGGGACGATCTGAACCGATGCCGAGTTTACTTCCTGATATCGTTATCAATAGTGACAAACCTGGTAACTTTAACCAAGGAGGTGGAGATGAAAATTCTTCGGCAGCGGACGCTCCTGCACGCAGTTCAAAAGAGGCCAATGAACAAATGCTAGATCAACAAGCGGGAGCAGCTGGTGCCGCAGAATCCGTTTCTAATCGTTCTTCAGTCACTAGTAACCATCCTGTCGACGCGCTTGTTTCTGACCAGCAAACACCAGATAAGCAGGACAGCGCCAATGGTATTCAGGAATCACTAAGCTCCCGCATCCACGGTTCATCAATGAGATTATCAAAACGACAATCAGCCTTTTCGGCGAGAGCTCTTTTGACATCAGAGTCTGTAGACAACATCCCTAGTCATGTGTCCAAAGTGATACTCTCGTATAGGACGAATGAATGGGCTAAGCATATTTCCGATGCTGAGGCTCCGGAAAATAAGGATGTCGATTATCTACAACAGGATGCAGAAATCAAGGAACCCGTCGTCCCTGTTATAATATCTGAACTTCAACAAACTGCTTCCGGGAACTTGTCCCGCTCAGAATCGGAAACCAAGTATCCAGATCCTCGAAAATCTCAAATCGGACGTGGATCAGTTTCCAAGCCTCTCGTAAAATCAGGTATCAATGTACAGAAAGCCAACATCCCATCTTTATCACCCCCCGGCTCTTCTAACTGTACTATTCGGTCGCAAACACCATCAGTCCATCAATTAGACCGATCAGCATCCAGCTCCTCGCTCAGCATACCGAGACAAGTGGACGTCAGCCGATCTAGACCAGCTTCATTTTCCCTATCCCCATATAGAACCCCCGGTAGGATTCCTGAAATAGAGGAAATAGATGAAAAGAGCTTTCCAGTCCGAAGAGTAAGGGTGTCATCCCCCCCTCTCCTGGTCCAACGCGAAACCGCAATCCGCAATCGATCCCTCCTCCTTCCTTCAAACTACTCATCCACGTCGGTCAACCGAGTTTCTCGGCCTCAGGGGCAACTCTCCCTCGCACTACCACAGCGATTCTCATCTAACCTTTCGTCCCACTATCAAACCAGCCACAGCACCCCTATAGAATCTGCGGACGACCTCCCACTTTCCGTCGTCCGTGAGCAAATGCACAAAGGAATGCAATCCCAAAGCCAAGTGCAAACTCAAAAATTTCAACAACATCGTCTCTCTTCATGTGTAAGCTCTCACTCTCTCGACAACGTGCCCATAACTGCCACTCTACGAAACTCTCAACATTATCAATCACACGCACCCGACCCGTTGCTAGTCCGCGAAGCCAAACTAGCCCGTTGGCGTGAATCTTTAAAGGAAGAAATCGCCAAGGAACATGTCCCAGAAGCAGCGGTAGAGACACAGCGTGCCAACTTGATGAAGGAGAGGCGGCGTGACCAGCTTGGGAGACAGCAGGCGGCTCGTCGGGCGAGCTATCGTGACTCGGTGCTAGAAATGGCGATGCGGAATGGTAATTTGCAGGAGATGCATAAGGAAGCGTTGAGGAGGATGCAGGCAACGGCAAATAGTCGTGTTTGACGAACCTGCTTGGCGTCTTTCGAGGAAGGAATTGGGAGTTTATTTTATTTTACTTTATTTTTTTGTTTTGGTTCTCTACTGGGGAGGATCTGGGGTTTAATGTATATGATCTGTTCCGTGCCTGGGCGTGTATAGAGCTATAGATTAGCAATCTCTTGCGAGGATATATTTGCACATAGACAGATGAACGGGATATAGATATCTTTACATAATGACATATTCTCCACCATATATGTAGATTTTAAAACAGAGAGTTGCATTCTTTATGCCCGGCCAACGTTTGTACTTAATTGGAGTGAGAAGTGATCTCAGGATGGAACGGGGATGGACGTAAGTTGGAGCAGAGACCTACTGTGCGATCTTATGATATGTATGGGCAATACCCACTCCAGCCTCCAGGGGTGAAAAGGTATGCCTCCTCTCAGGCCGTTTTACTCACAGAAACATCTAGCATTAAAAACTTCCCACTGCTTTTTGGGACGAGACTTTTGGTGCTCTGCGACCTTGACGGTTTCGTTGAATGCACCTCAATTTCAATTACGATGCCAGCCACCGTAATGGAGACTGCTGCTCGTTTCGATCGGAAAATACACATTCTGGGTTCACCATAATAGACTGTTGATCTTTAAGCTGGAATCTGCGGTCCAGTTCGGAATTTGGAATTTCTTTCTCTTTACCGTCCAGCTTTGATTGATTGTTACGTTCGCTTCTTTCTTCTTGCACACTGTCTCGCCGCCACGCGAACATCATCGACGGTTTCTCCAAGAGTTTCTTTCACGATCATCCACATCATTGTTTTTGGGGCTTCCCGTTTCTCTGTACTGTTTCAATGGGGCTTCTCTTCCATCACAATACATTGGGCTGGACACATTGTCCCACAGCCTTGCAAATGACAGGTTGTGACACCCGCCGAGTCATGCACAAAGCCTTCTTAACGCATCATTCGGTATCCCATTATTCAGAATCTGTAAAATTGAATCAATAGGACTCTGGTGAATATTCTTGGCTGGATGGCTGAGTTCCAGTGGATCGAATATGAAAATGCAGCGCAGTGCCTCGCGCCCACGGGCATAACCGAAAGAGAAACATCAACGCCATTTACTGAACTGGATGGTGCGTCAAAAGGTGATGGAGCAAAAATGTTCATGCCAGTGTTTCTTCAGGGGAAGAAACTGTTTTTCAAACAACCTTGGAAGTAGGTTAAGCATATTGCATCTCTGGCTCGGTCACTATGGAGAGACACGGTAGATTCCACCGAGCCCTGACCGGATCAGGGCTTAACTTAGCTTAGTTATGATGGCTTTGCTCTCTTTTCACGTCTCCCATTCAAGAACCCTTTCAACATACCGGCGTAAGCAGCCCCTCTGAAGATTGGATTACAAGTCCTTGGGAAAGGATAGGAGATATATCGTTCTGCTCAATCATTTGTGAGATATTTTGCCGTCCACACGTAGCTGTGGCCGGCACTGTCTCTTTTCAACACGGCTGCCCCTGATCGTCTTCCATGCAGGCAGCACATGGGAATCATGCGCATTTTCCAGTGGATATCTTACCTTCAATTCCCGGGAGCTTGAATTTAACCCCATTTTTGGATTTCCAGAAGGGACTGATTCTCCACACATCATCTACGAAAAGCCCTCTTCATGCCTTGCATGATGTTGAGTATTAGAGGTTTGTCAATCAGCGTCTGCCATGCGCTGGCTTCCGATAGGGCACTCAATTTGCCCCATACTCCCTCTGTGCACACGTTGGTAATGCTCAGGGGAGATAAAGCTACCCGTGTTCCAAAAACGAAAAACGTTTCAAGACCAACAGCCCTGAAGAATGGCGATTCACTTTCCCAATAGTCAGACTAGCCCAACCTCTCCGTGGTGGAACTTCCAAGTCTCAGGATCTGACATTCCCCCACCCATCATGAACCACAGAAGGGAAGCATTTCTTCCTTTCATCTGGAAGGCAGTATGATTCCCCTGAGGACCAAAGTTAATGGCTGGCTATTGGTTACAATGTATTTCCAGGGTGAGGCCCTTGTAGCGCATCCTGTCACAAGACGCCAAATCCAGGCTCCCCTAGAGTCATGCCACCGCTGTGCCGCCGTTACTTCATTATATTGATCATGCAAAGTCGATTACGGACAAGTGCTTATGAGTCCTCAAAAATTCCCAGCAAGTTCATGGGAATTCCGGTTGCAGTATGATCCAGAGTGCTGATTGAACAACCAGTTTAAACACCTCCATCAATTTTGCTAGTTAACCCACGCTCTCCCGTCTCTCCTCTTTCTGCCAGAGAGATTCTGATATTTGCCCTGTGTAGAACGGAACCTCCGAACCGGATGTGCACAACCCGTCCCCATCCCCCAGATCAGGGGTATTCCCACTCTGTCCTCCGACAGAGTTGGCGGCGCTGAATAATCTTTAACTTGTTATATTCTCAGAACATTTTGAACCAAGGTGCACGCCACAATCAAGGAAAACTACAGCAGTTGACTTGCGTATTGTAAATATAATTGAACAAAGCTCCCATTAAACGGAGTCATGATGCTCCCCATCTTGCCACTTCTCCCCCCCCCCCCCTTTTTTTTCTGGCTGCGACAGTGGCGTTGGCCCTGGATGACCACCAAGCTACAGACACCCAGCCAGAATGGCCCGATGGCGCGCAGAGAGATTTGCAAATGTTTTGAAGTTGTGTTTGATCCAGGGAATGATGGGATTTCATCTGCCTTTGCCAGTTCTCGTGCCTGTAAGGGCTGCAGAGTGTGTTACAAGTAGTGTTGCGGGCCAAAGGAATGTCAGTATGAGGTCCCCCTTCTACCTTGTAAATTCTTGACCACATGCATGCAGCACTTCTCTAGCAGTTCTATCTTCGCTTTGGGTGGTCTATGTTATTGCCTCCATAGACAACAATTCATCAAACCCCTTGGTCATCGGGGAGGGGCCAACGAGCTGCTCGCTCAGACTCATGCCATCTAACCATACACCCGGGGATCGATTTCGTTTGCAGGGGCTGACTCTCCTGGGCTAATATCAATTCATAAGGATCCCTGACCCTCTTCTCCCCTGCCCATAATTACCTTGAAATTCCTGTTCCGGTAATATTCCGGAACATCTGTCCTGTTGTCATTCATCACCCAGACAGTAATTTAACCCGATCCCCATGCAAATTCGCAAGTCGTTTTCCATTTTCCTGCTTATTATTGCGAATTTCTTTGACTTTCTTGTTTGGCGGGAGACAGCATGGCATATGTGGGGATTTCTTTTTAGTATGTGTAAAAATTAACAGGCATTTCGAGAGGCAATGATAATGGATATTTGGGTCGAAGGATGTTTTGAGACGAGGGTCTGATCACCAGGAGCATATGAAACCGGCGTCACTCTATAACCATTAAATACTTTGCTATTCGGGCTGTCTGAGGAGCTGTAGATTGGAAACGAGATCTCAATTTACCAGCATGTCTCCAATTCTACCACGAAGTACATAGCGGGAGGAGATTCTGAAAGCAGGAAAAAAAAAAAAAATAAGAAATTAAATAAATAAAAATAAAAATAAAAATTTAGACTGAATCACCACAGCTGCTTTTGTGGAGTGGTAAGTTGCTCTCAAGATGAAGATAGAATTTCTTCAATTTAAACAAACTACTTTACACAGCATAGTTACTCTTCGCGGTTTCGGTTTATTTTTATTTTTATTTTTTTAATTTTGTGTATTTTGTATTTTCTATTTTCATGTTTAACATGTGCCATGTGGTTCTATTCAAGGTTTTTCCCCTTTTATATTTCAGCTCTGCGAGGATAGATGCTGGGGCCGCAAGCAATAATGATAATGATTGCAATATTCGAGATATTGTATTGGTCTCGGAGGTATGAGAAGATCAAAACAGGCCCGTTTGCGATCACGTAACTCTGGAGTATCAGAAGGTTTCAACCTGCACTGAAAATATACTCCACGCCCGTAATGACAGGCATTGCTCTAGGGACTCTTAGGCTTGAGCATAGCCGGAACTTCAGGGGCTGCTACCTTAAGACTTAAATAGTGGACTACTGCCGATGATTTAGTAGAGTCAAAAATGGGGCTTCTCATGGGGATTTTAAGCGCCATGCGTCGAGTCAAGATTTTTGATACGAAACCTCCATGGTGATTCAACGTTGTTGGTGCTTGATTGTGGCTTGAAAATCTCTGCTTCTTGCATTGGGATTATATATATATATTGAAACCCGCCGACTTGCTTAATCCCGCGGTTGTCACCTGCAAAGATGAGACCTTCCGAAAACCTCGACATACCTCAGTCGCCTGGACTAAACGGGGAAATCAAACGGCCCCGCATGAGGATGCAGACGTGCAAATCCTATCCACTTCAAGCTCAAAATCAAAGCAAGTCTTTAATTAACGGAAGGAGTTCGAAAAGCCCAGCCCAATTCTATTCTGCCGTTGCAGTGTGATGGTGATGGGGGCAAACATAACCAATTGGGCAGATTCGACTAAATCGACCTGATTGCAACAGAATCAAACCGACGAGCAAGATCCCGATCCCACAACTAATATTGCCATTCTTGCCAACTTGCCTTGGACCTTAAACCTGCAAGCCATGCGCCAAAGAAACAACCGGCGCCATTCTTATTAAGCACTGACTTGAGCTTAAGCCAGAACTCATGGTCCTAAATGCCCGGGAAGAGGAGATGTCACAAAGCAACCATTTACCTGCAAAAAGGAAAAAGGGGATGGGGCAGTTGAACCGTTGGGAAGAAAGAAAAAAAAAAAAAAAAAAAACATTGCCGCTAAAACATGCCGCGGTCCAGAGCCTCCTCCCATTGACATCAACCTGCAGCAGCTAACGGAATCCTATTGATCCCAAGGCCGCAGGAATGGGAATCCTAGCTTCTCTCCAGACGGTGTCCGTTGTCGTCCCGTCAGTGAGAACTTATCATCAATTAGAAGCCCAGCTCCAAAAAGAGAATTGAATTGGATCTGATGCAGGGCCGCCGTTTTTGCGGATGCTTTTCCTGTTTGATATCAATGCGTGTATAATAATACATCATCAGTATGTTTCTGCCCGTGGTGGGACACCACAAAACACTAAAAACAAAACCAGACCCTTGCAGGCTACATCCAATGCTTTGCAGCTGCCAGATTTTTATGGTTATTATTAATATCGAAATACAAGTCTGCTGCCAGTGGTTGCTTTTAAACTGAAAAGGGGAAAAGAAATCTCGCGCTTGGAAATTTTTTGCTCCAGGCACAGTGAGTGGGTCCCAGTTCGTGACGTTTCTGGCTAGGCAGCGTTAGCGGGCGACGGCTCGGTACCAGGTCCAACAAGGCGGGTGTCCGGGGAGAGTTGGAATTACATTCCGTGAGCCAGCCATGGCTCACCCGCCCATGAATCATACTTGACTGGCCCCCTGATGCGGGTATCCATGCTGCTTGGAAACTCCAGCCACGGCCTGGGACGGGACTTCATTGATCATCCAGGGAAGGGGGGGGGGGGGGGGGGGGTGTGTTATGGGCGATCACTGACTGAGACCCAACTGCGACTTGACCAGTGTGTTAAGCAAGGAGAAAGAGAGTCTGGTTGGAGTCAGAGGAACAAATGATTTTGATATCCCCAATCCACAAAGAGAGAGAGAGAAGCGAAGGAGTTTGAACATCGCATTGCATTGGACTCGAAACCAGGCGGGGGGCGTCTTTCTTCCTTCATGATGTGCGCAATCCATGGCCCATGATCCGTCACAAATCAGAATCGTGGTAAAATGTCCCCGAACCAGCCTGGCCAGAATATTTTTCCCTCTCGTGTGTGTGTGTGTGTGTGTGTGTGTGCGCGGTGCAATTGATCTAACTCATAATCGTTGTTTCTCGGCTTCGTTGGTTGGGACTTTGGAGGCGCGATGATGAATATGTGTGCATGGGCTGGCTCATCCGCACGAATTTTGCAGGCATATTTCCAAGGTTATTTTACTTTTTACTCCGTAGTTATCTGCGAAATAATGGACTGTTGCCCACGGGTCACAGCCGAATGTTATAAAATAGGCCTCCTAACCTCTTATTATTCTTACCCTACTGCGACTTTAGTCTCGAGAGAACTCCGTCTCCAACAACAAACCATGCCCTCAGTAGCTTGGCCGCCGACACCACACCCACATATAGAACCGGCCTGATTATAAACTGAGTTGTGGTCCGATCAATAAATATATTTGCTGCACAGATCGACTTGGTAAGGGACCGGACGGATGATCGTTGGATTCGGTCAGACAAAGCTGATACGGGAGCTATTTGTGGGCTTTCTCTCTTGTATTTTATCTGTTTCCTTGTTTATTTTACTTTTTATTTATAAATATTGTTGGCGGCCACTCGATCGAGGTGATCGTGACAGGTTCGGGTTTTTTTGAACTCGATGCTTCAGTTCAACCGCGGATTCTGCTTCTTTGGTGTGGATTAATGCTATCATTTTTTTTTTTTGGGCATCATTCTCACCCTCGTTATGGATACGGTTGTGGAGACCTTCTTTTATTGCCGGATCTTCATCCAGGACGCTCTGTGAATAGGCTTCTATTGTCCTGCAACTCCTCTTCTTCTTTGTCGTTCTACTTACTGTATGCGGAGAACTAACTAACTATACGGATCATCCTCTCTCTCTCTCTTCTTCTTTAAACTTGTTGATTTTTATTTTCCGCCCTGGCCCCCATATTATCCCTTACATTCTCCCCCCCTTTCTTTCATGTGTTCAAACCCCATCCATTGTCAATCACCGGTATCATCTTATTTTCCTTCATGGTTGTGCAGGCATGCTGGTGCCGCTTGTTGCTAGGCCTGCCCCTAAGCCCCTTTTACGGTTGCGGCCCTCGCCAATCACCGCCCGCAGCCCGCTTCCTCCTCTGTCCCAGCAACAACTTCAGTCCCGGCAACTTCGCCCTCAACACCCACCAACAGCACCATCTCTTCCTCCTCGCCGACAACAACCACGGCGTCCTACGCCATACACCGTCCACGCAACCTATCATCGCGGGCGGCTGAAGAAGGTCCCTACACGGATATCCCCCTCGTCCCCCTCTTCACAGCCAATTCCTCGGCTGCATCCTCGCTCCAACCCCCAGAACGCGCATACCAACCTCCCCCTCGAAGACCTGCAAACACCCCCTTCCATGAGCGCCGTAGTTCCCAGGGCCGCTCTCTCTTCTCAACTGTTCGCACCAGCATCCGTAAGCCCCCATCATCTAGGCTCTGGAATCCCATTAACTACGTTCCGCGTACCACCATCGTCACCGCCCCTCGCCCTGCTCCAGTATCCGACACCTCCCCTTATATCGAGTCACAACGTGACGCTTACCCTCTGCTGACTATCCCGGAGCAGCGGCGCAGTCGCCAACAACCCAGTCCTACAAGTCTGCTGGTGGAGCGCAGCGTCGCGGATACTGAAAGTGGGCGTGCTAGCATTGGGCTTCCCCCCGGTCATCGACGAAGCGGTGTATGGGAGAACAGCAACATGGGCAGGGATTCAAAGCAATCGGGAACCCAGGGACAGAGAGATGCGGACCACAAAAACATCCGTCGGCCGGACCCCGCCCTTCTGCGAACTTTAGACCTACCAACCCAGGATTCGATTAAACCTCACTCCCCCAGTGGAGCCCATCATGACCATCCCCGCCATGTGCCATCACAACAATCACTACGTTCACAGACATTCGCTTCCTTCCCTTCTGGCAATGGCAACCACTCGTCGGGTGCCAGCGGCGGCGGTGGCGGTGGTGCGGAGGGCGATGTCGCGGATGAACTAGCCTGGGGTCCCTCACATCCATGTTTCCCCCATATGAACCCGCACGTCCCCATCACCTCTCCAGAATACCAAAATACCCGCATCATCCGCATAAGGCGCGATTGGATGGTAAAGGGCGACCTGGCACCAACATTCTCAAACCTATACCCAGAAATCCTCGACCCGCTCCTCCCCGAACAAGAATTCCGAACGGTAATCGCAAAGGTCAACAACGAGCTCATCGCGACATTCGACCCTTGTAGCGCCCGCAACTGGCTTGACGGCACGATGGGGTTGGTGACGGGATGGGTCTGGGATGACTTGGGCCTCACCGGGGTCAAGGGTCGGCTAAACTCCATTGAGAAGTGGCTGGAGAATTGGAATCAGACCGTGGGTGTTGAGGAGGGCGTGAAGATTTGGAGTTTAAGGAGCACCGGGTATCTGTCTGTTGATATTCAGATTCCGGATCCGAAGGTTGGCATTGTCGAGAGCGATGGGCCGCTTGCTACGGACATCATAGCTGACACTGCTGGGAGGAATACTGAGCAGCATTACCTCCAGCCGGAGAGCTGATGGGATTTGTTTTATTCCTCCCTCCCTCCCTCCCTCCCCCCCCCACTTCTTTCCTTTTGGTATTTGATATAACTTTATTAATTTATGATATCCCATTTCTGTTTCTTGCTTTATTATTTCCCCTGTGAACTGGCGTTGTGAACTACGAAGGTTTCTCTTCTCGGCTGGGTTTTCTCTTTCTCTTTCTTTTTTCTTTTTTTCTTTTTTCTTTTTTTCTTTTCTTTTTCTTTTTATATTCACCGTTAGATTCTGCTTGTGGTTGATGTGGGTAGTACTCTATCGACTTCTAGAAACACCTCCGCATTGTGTTCTGTGTGCTTGTTTACCATGTTCATCCCATGCCCATCTTTATTCCTCCTCTCTCTGTGTTTTCTAATTCCTGGTGGCGGTGGTTTCCTCGCCATTTTTGGGGGCGATATATTCGTCGTTTGTCATCTTTACATCTAGTATTATTTATATACACCCCGACTGCTATACCACAAAAACGGCAAAATGGATATTGTAGCATGAACCTCACGCTCTCTTTTGGACTCCTTCGTGTAATTCCGTGCTAGCTGGGAGATTTCGTGAGTCTATTGATGTAGCGAATCTTGGTGGAAAACCAGCAGATAAATCGAATATTACCTGAGTAATGGGGTGACCAATAGAGCGTATCATCCGTCCTTGTTGGCTAATAACCAGTGGAGGGTCTAGTTTCTACTGCTGCTGCATTTATTGACATAGAAAAAAATACTTTTAAATTATTTGAAGAAATAAAGTAATTGGAATCCTGCAGAATCCAAAGTTATTAAAGTCACTGCAAAAGGGAGGTATCTGGTTTTTGACAAAGTGTTCAGCTTCTATTTAATGAATTAAAAATAAAACAGATTCAAGTTGAAATGGAGGTAAGGTCTCTCTCAAAGTCTTCAGTCTCACTTAACTTTTATTTGCTATATATGCAGTTAATCTATTTAAGAACAGATATATATACACAATAAGCACCCTTAGCTATGTTGGTAATACATAAATCTTGTTATCAGCTCTAAATTTATACCAGAAAACCGTAGAAATAGAGAAAGAGCTTCATTGGAAATCTTCGATGAGAAAATTGATAAAAATAAAACAAAATTAATCAATCCGTTTTGTTCTTTCTAGACTATTATTAATCGTCTGTCGAACGACTTAACTCAAACCGACGAGTTATAATACGCCGTATCGCATATCCACCCCAGCACTGAACAAACATCTCAACCCCCGACAATGTTCCCTTTGCAACGATAAGCCAAATCCAAATCACCATGCTCTCCGGAATTCTGATCTTCAACCAAAAGGGCGAAAACCTCATTTTCCGCTCGTTCCGCAACGACTGTCGCTCCCGTCTGGCTGACGTATTCCGCATCCAGGTCATCTCCAACCCCCGGGTGCGCTCGCCCGTCCTAACGCTGGGATCGACGACGTTCAGCCATGTCAAGCACGAGAATATATACCTGGTTGCGGTGACCAAGAACAATGCGAATGCGGCGCTAGTGTTTGAGTTTTTGTATAAGTTTATATTGTTGGGAAAGGGCTACTTTGGGAAGCTTGATGAGGAGGCTGTGAAGAATAATTTTGTGTTGGTTTATGAGTTGCTGGATGGTGTGTCTTTTCTTTCTCTCTTTCTTTCTATATCTTCTTTTTTTTGGTTTTCCCGCTTGCTTGCATGCATTCATCCTTTGCTGTGGTTTGTGTCGAGTGTGAACCCTGGCTAATTTTGAACGGCGTTTGCCCCGTGAATTTTTTGGCAGAGATTCTTGACTTTGGATACCCCCAAAACACCGAAACGGATACCCTTAAAATGTACATCACAACAGAGGGCGTCAAGTCTGCAATTGCCAACTCGCCGACAGATTCCAGCAAGATTACCATGCAAGCTACGGGAGCCCTCTCATGGCGTCGATCGGATATCAAATACAGGAAGAACGAAGCGTTTGTCGACGTAATCGAGGACGTCAACCTCCTCATGTCTGCCACCGGCACCGTTCTCCGCGCCGACGTAAACGGTCAGATCATCATGCGAGCATACCTGACCGGCATGCCAGAGTGCAAATTCGGCCTGAACGATCGATTACTCCTCGATAATGATGCTTCCGGCAGCGGGCGATCTGACGGCAGGGCAAGAGCAACACGTGCTGCGGCTGGCAGCGTTACGCTGGAGGACTGCCAGTTTCACCACTGCGTGAAGCTTGGCCGGTTCGATGCGGATCGGATTATTTCCTTCGTCCCGCCCGATGGAGAATTTGAACTTATGCGATACCGTGCGACGGATAATGTGAATTTACCCTTCAAGGTCCATCCTATCGTGAGGGAGATTGGCACTACAAAGGTTGAATATAGCATTGCCATAAAGGCCAACTACGGCTCGAAACTGTTCGCTACGAATGTCATTGTGAGAATCCCGACGCCACTCAACACGGCGAAGATTACGGAGCGGACGAGCCAGGGACGTGCGAAGTACGAGCCGGAGCACAATAATATCGTGTGGAAAATTGCGCGTTTCTCGGGACAGAGAGAATATGTGCTTACGGCTGAGGCGACGCTGACGAGTATGACGCAGCAGAAGGCGTGGAGTCGGCCGCCGCTCAGTATTGGGTTTAGTCTGCTTATGTTTACTAGTAGTGGGTTGTTGGTGAGGTATTTGAAGGTGTTTGAAAAGAGTAACTACACCAGTGTTAAGTGGGTGAGGTATATGACGAGGGCAGGGAGTTATGAAATTCGGTGAGATTCGATTTTTTTTTATGTTGTTCCTCTTCCCGGCCTTCAATTTTTTTTTTCTTTCTTTCTTTTCTTTTTTTCTTTCCTGTTCGCATGGACTAGCTAACTTGCTATTTCACCAAATATAGATTTTAGCGTTGTCTCTTTATTTCGTCAACCAGATCACACTTTATCCTTCGCTTTGCGACCCTCCCATAACGCGCCGCTTGGCCCCCCTGCCATGTCATCTCCTTGTCTGGTGAGTCGACCTTTACCTCGTCATTCCCGTCATGTATTCATAGCTTGCGCGGCATTGTACATGATTATTACACACGCCTCTCAGCGGGTAGACCCTCGCTCCAGTCATGGAGGCAGGTTCAGAACACTCTCCATTCAACGACTCAGTGTTCCGTGGAATCAAAAAGTCGTCCTGACGGATGACTCCCGCATAGATATGCTTCATCTTAGTGTTAGGAAGTATGTTTCCATTTGTCCCATCAGCGTGTGGTCCAGTTTTACAGCATCAGGCCCACGGGGCCATTTGGCCCTCTGCGTTTCGGAGTATGGGAAGCGGGTTATTTTTATTTTCATTTTTATTTGTACTCCTCGCCAAATGATGGCGAAACAATGGCCCAACGAAAGCAGGGCGTTTTAGAGGTTCTTGTTAACATATTACTGCTGTACCTACCTTTAATTGGCCTTTCAGACAACCCATTCGCTTTTTTATATTTTGACCGAGGGCCCTAGCGGATGGTGTGTTTGTATAATAGATACTCTGTTAAGGCGAAGAATCCAAGTGGACACCTTGACACATTTTGCCCTTCAGTGTCTGTACATATCAGAGGTCTTTAAGACTATTTCATTTCCACTCCCCATTGCCCTCCCTCCCTGCACTACCTCATTGAGAATACCCGCTTTTATTCAGACACACTTCGTGGCAGGGAAGCCCTCTGGTACCCGTGTTTCGTATAATCTTGGAATCGAGTAGATGGGTCAATAACACGTTCCCCGGATTCAATCATTAATGGAATGTTACAATCTTACGCGGAACACAACGGCCTTACTCTCCAACACAGCTGGCAGTCGGTGCTGGAGGACATGGAAAATGCCCGGGTATTCTGGCATTATACTAAATTTCACAAACAATAGGCGAGTTTAAATATCCTCTTAGATGAACCATCAGTTGCCAGTTCATGGGGGCAATGTGATGAGCTGAGCGGCGCATTACAGGAAAATCATCGCTGATGAACAGACAGATCGAAAGATATTTTTTGTTTATGGTTCTGTCGCAGAAACTCCAATGCTTGGGAGTCATTGATGCCGTTCCATTTCAGGCGCGAAACCGGCTGGATATGGAAGAATAAGGTTATCCGATAGGAACGGGTTTTCTCTTGTGTGATTCCTTGTAAAGTCGGACTCTCTCTGCTCGAGCAAACCACTACTTCCCGTGAAACTGATAGTCGAGGCGCGCCACTGGTAGATCCATTCAGCGGCATCTATTACAGTAATGAACCTCTTGCCTTCAAGGGCATTGATAATGTCAGCTGTCAAAGTTGCTTTTGCCTTATGCCGTACTGTCTCCCAGACACGACAAAAGCAGGGCCGCCATAGGGGGTATGTTTCATGGGCCGTTCCATGCGGTCCTGGCATGGTATGTATCAAAAGCATCATCCACTAGGCTGCGGTCATATTTTGCTGCTGATAGTACAGTCGGTGAGCCTCCCTCATTAATGGGTCACTCTAGATGGCAGCGGATACTTGTACATGTAATAGAAGAAACAAGCTAATGATTCCTGGACATCAAGTCAATTTCGGATCGATGGCGATTTCGATACCGTAGGACGGATGACTTTGCCCTTCAGCGTTTGTCTGTGCCAATGGAAGATCGGGATATTTGTGTTGCGGAATATTCCCCGCAATGCACATGCTTGTGGAATTGTCAACGACTGATTCTGTTCAAGGACGATCTCTCAATGATACGGTGAGCACCACCGGGTGCTTATGTGCAAACTACCCAGGTTTCAGACCAATATTCCACTCTTTCCCCATCGGAGAACCAGTGATGCATCCCATCGAAAGGGTGTCGGTCCTATAGTCAAGAGCTTCATCAAACGGCATGGGATTCATGCGCAAATACCGCGACGACATAGGTGGCGCCACCCCAAAAACATCACGTCACACCGTTAGAGAGAGGACAAATGCTTGCTCCCGATATTGAGGGGGGGCATGTTAGGTATCCAAGGGCGTGTGCGTGCACCTGGGTGACTTGGGGTGACTCCAGTCGTTAAAGGGGTCATAGAACCCCCAGGGAGAAGATGTTAGGGTAGCGAAAGGCTCTGGCGGTGAAGCGATCTGACCAACGATGTGTTGATGGTCATAAGGGGATTCCCTCGCAGTGCTTATGATCATGGATAGAGTGTGAGTGCCAGTTCAAAATCGTCTTCTTGATGACACGTTGGCTTGGACGATTTGCGCTGCCCCACCCACAGAGCTGCACTGATCCATAGACGGCTGGAAGACAAAAAAGCACCATATCAGATAATCGTGATTAGGGTTACCCTCCCTGCGAAATGCCTTTCGATTATCCGAAGGATTCTCGAAGGATACTCAGACAGGAACGGGGACTTTAGGCTGCATCTATACAATGGCAGCAAACACTACTCTCTTTGGGTTCGAATCTAGTAAGGTGGAACAGGATAGAATAAATATGCCCCACGCCGATATAGGTCCCCACGGGTTCTTAGTTGAGTAGAGTAGATGTGGAATTATATCTAACAGATGGAATAATATGAAAGACATTCGTTAAGATATTTGGGAATGATTTGCCCTCCTTTCTCCACCAATTGTTCACCACTGGCCCTCTTGCACCGCTCCATGGCACGAACGGACCGATTGTCCCATTTACCACCAGGGGATTCTCAAAGCCACCCCCGGAGTGCAGGCCGGGTGATGGGAATGAGCTAGCTATATAGTCCACTCACTATTCCCACTCGCTGGAGGACAGGTACAACTTACCTTCTCCTCTCTCTGGTGAAGAATTGAAACGTATTTAACCTCCATACTGGGGGTATGGATTCTCTTGTGCATATTTCATGCGTTGGAGGACTATCCATACGCGCCGGGGGATCTACTCTGGTAACTAGATTCCATTCATCCAGCTAATCATCATTATCCTCGAGGGTATGATCAATGCCCGCTAATTGAATGGGCATAGAAAATGACCTTGGGACATCATCGCATCATCCAGACAACAAACATTTTAACGCCAGAGGAGGCCGGGGCAGAAAGAGTATACACGATATCTGGATACGGCGGTTAAAAAGACCGCGTTTGAAAGAACTTTGTTTATAATTTATATATATATTTCATTTCTCCTCGTCTACACGGAGTATCGAGAACAAAAGCTGACAACTCAGTGTCAAGAAGATCGGGGCCCGTGAGAGGGATCCAGCCCCCGTCCTTGGAAGTAAAATACATGGATAGAAGAGAGAAAAAAGGAAGAACTAGATAAAATACAATACGCCAAACAAGGACAGTCTGCGAAGAGAAAAACAAGATGAGAAAGTTTGCTGAAATATGACGTGAAAAGGATGCCATCTGGGAACAAAGGTAATATATCTAACAAAAGGATATGATGACAAAGGGCGAAGTGGGAAAGCATCAAATGGACATGGACATGCCTTGTGGCACCTTTTTTTCCCCTTCGCGGTTTGTTTGACGTAGATGTCTAGATAGATGAATAGAGCTGTATTTGTGGCGTGGTTGGTTGTGGTAGGCGGAGGCGGGAGCGGAAGTGGGAGCGGGGAGCCACGGGACGCGAAACCAGGGATCGATCGGTGGAGAAGAGAGTAAGAGCAAAGTCAAGATAAACCAAAAGATTTCAATGGGAAGAAGAAGAAGAGGAAGAAGAAGAAGAAGAAGAAGAAGAAGAAGAAGAAGAAGAAGAAGAAGATGATGATGATGATGATGATGATGATAGGGGGAAAACATAGCGCCAGAGAAACATTCCAATCCCAATCCCATCGCAACACTCAAGAACCCGACAGCAAACAGGTAGCAATTCCTCCCCCATGGCCAGCCAGCCCAAATTCCCAGCGCGCCTGAAATTGATAGAACGAATATATCTAAGGTTAAAACATATCAAAGTAAAGCATTTGAGGAAGATAGAATAAAAAGAATCTATAGATCAGGGAAAGAAAAAATAAAATATCAGCTCAAGATTCTGCCCACCCTAGAACGCAAAATGAAAGAAACAGAAATACAAAATGAAACCAACAAAATTCCAGACCAAAAAAAGAGAAAATAGAGAAAAAGTAAAAAAAAAAAAGAGAAAAAAAAAAAAAAACTTTCAAGTACCACCCCTCCAATTCTCATGAATCCGATTCCTAACGATATTTCTCCCCCTTCGCAGGCCCACATTCCCCTCCCCAACAAGCGCCCTCCACCGCCTCCCCACACTATCATTATCCTTCCCCATCCTGCGTGCACACTCACTCCAATCCCGCTTCGACAGCTTCAGTTTCTCCAGCACAAGCTCCACCAGTTTCCTATCATCCTCACTCGTCCAGTCTGACTGCGGGTCTGACGAAGTGGTATTAGAGTCATGACCACCGTCGCCAGCATCGACTTTACCATCGCAACTCTCCGATCGCAAGACATGATGGCCAATAACGCCTCCTTCACCATCTCGCGACACAGACACAGAAACAGGAACATCAGCCGATGAATGTGGCGAAGGCAGTCGCGGGGCCCCCGGGGACTCCAGCGACTGAAAATCCGCCCGGACAAGACCAAGTGGTAACTCAGCGGGGGCGCGCCGGCGCCTTTTCGGTGTCGAGAACATGTAGCCTTCCCTCGCAACCTTTCCCTCGCGACCACCACTGCTGCTACTATCGCTATCATCTTCGTAAATATCTCTGCGCCGCTTATTCACCCCCCTCTCCCTCTGCTGCAGTTGCAGCTGCATCTTTTGCGCAGGCTTCATAACCCTCTGCACGCGCG